GAAGTGGGAGGGGAAGGGGAAAAGAAAGAAGGGAAAGGAAAAATTATGAGAAAAGGAAAAAATGGAAACAAAGTCTTTTTATATAGGGAAGGGTGGAGAGGGTGAAGGGCACCCAGGGAATGGGGAAAAAATAAGAACCAAGATATATCATGTACAGGTACAAGCACCCAATGATAAATGTAAACGTACTGTATACCTAAAATGTACCAATAGAAGAATTTAAGCCAAAAAAGAAAGAAGAAAGAAAGAAAGAAAGAAAGACAAGACAAGACAGAAAGACAGACCTGTAGCCGGGCCTGAGGACGCTCTACTTCTGGATCTCCATGGCAGATGTGCACCTTGGATTCACTGGTGTGCACACCGACATTCTATGCACCTTTCTGCAATACCAACTTCCCACAATGAATGAAATTGTCTACTGCAAGTTGTACTAAGAAAAATAAAAGATGAAAGAACACAGAAAGGGAAAAGCCACAGCCGGCAAGAGAAAACCCCAGGAGTGCACCAGGGGACCCAGGGAAGGTAAGATCAGTGGCCAGCAGCATCCGACCTCAGAGGCCAAGGAAGCCAAGGGCAGAGCTCTGCTGCCTTAGCAAGAAGGCCACAGAGACCCAAGTAAACACACTGCAAGCTAGGCAGGGACAGCAGGGCCACGCTGAGAACCCAGGATGACCGGAGGTAGACACCCTGAGTCCACACAAAGTTTGCAAAGGCTATAGAGAATCTCGGACCAGAGGAGGGTGCTTTTGAAGATGAAAGAAACTCATTTATGTTCAAATGTGGACAACCAAGGAAGACGAGAGAGATAATAAGGTAAGAAGAGGCTGCAAGATCCCTGAGAAGGGAGAAGGAATGAGAGAGAAACATGGGCAGAAAGGCCGTGCTCCACACTAGGAGGGAGCCTCTCCCTGGGGGCCTGGAGAGAGAGGGAAAGTCATATGACACCAGTAGGAGTAATAACACAACTGGGACCTGAACAAAGGTCCTCTGACTTCAAAAACTATGTGACAGAATCTATACAGAACGCAACTTTCATAGTTCAAAAGTAACACACAGGGACCAGACATACACCTCAGTAGTAGAGCACGTGCTTAGCATGGACAAGGCCCTAGGTCTGATCCCCAGTGCAAAAAACAACTTTATACAATCAAGTCTTGCATATTCATTCACTGAACTATTTACTGTGCGGCTCTAGGTACCACAGACAGGGCGTTTCATAAGCAATGCTAAGCCAGGGGCTCACTAGCCTGCTAAATGTAACCCACCACAAGCTGAAGGGGGCCTGCCTGCCTAGATGCTGGCTGTTTCAACTCCAGGGGCTCAGAGAGCAAAGGCCCAGGTCTGACCCACTCCTCACCATGCCCACAAGGAATCATCTAAATGGCTGTGTGCTCTGACATACAAAACAAAGCAACATCAAGAAGAATTAAACTTTAGCCAGTTGAAAGACTAGTAAACCACCTCACATTACAAAATGGTCAGAAAAAGCCAATGTTATAAATAAGTATTCCCTCCTCCCGACCTGAGTAAGGAGAGCACTTTCTGACTTGCTTCTGAAGAGAACAGAAAGGAGAAAGGAAAGAGAAAGTAACATTACTCTGGAGAACACAACCTTGGCCAGTAGATCAAGGTTAAAGTCACCAGTGATGAGTCATGGTAACAATGTGCACCCATGACAGCTAACAAAATGGCACTTTACCATGTGGTCTCCAGTCTAATCACAAGAAAACCAGCAGTCAAATCCCAATAGGGGTGTGTCCTACGAAACACCTGACCAGGACTCCTCCAGACTGTCAAGGTCATCAACAAAGAAAGGGGCTGTGGACCACGCCTGCCGCCTGCCTCGCAAGTGCAAGATTGTGAGTTTGATTCCCAGGACCAAAAAAAAAAAGCAAAGAAAGTCTGAGAAGCTGTCATTGCCAAAAGGAGACTTTTTAAAAGTACTACAAACTAACAGGATTATAATAGGTGTTTACTATAAAATTCTTTCCATTTTTCTTTGAAATACTGTTATTTAAAAGCTGGATAAAAAGAAGCGCTACATTTAATGGTCATCATGGGCCTGCCTCTGACATGATTTGCTTTGCCAAACTGTCTTTGTAAGTCAGGTGAACCCTCCATGTAATAGAAGATGGGCGGAAGTGGAGGGGTGCGAGGGATGGAACCCAAGGCCTTCACACGTTGAACAAGTGCTCTCCGCTACACTATACCCCTAGCACCCACGCCCACAGTCCCTGTGTTGTGTTGTTGTTTTGTCTGCAGTAGTGGGACTGAACCCAGGGCCTTCACACTGAGCTTCTTCCTCAGCCCTTTTTACTTTTCTTTTCGTACTTTAAGACAGAGCCTCACTAAGTCACTAAATTGTCCAGGCTGGGCTCAAACTTGCAGTCCTCCTGCCTCAGCCTCTCAGAGTGCTCGGATTACAGGCATGTGGCACCAACCTGGGTCCCAAATGTTTTTAATATCCAAACTCCTATTCAGAACAACTGGGAAGCACCCACCAAAATGACATACGTACACATTCTTTGACCTAGCAACTCTCCTTCCAGGAATGGATGTTCTAGAAGACACAGCCTAAGGGATCCTTGGGGTTCTCATGCGGACTGGGGGCATTATTCCCCAGGGAACATTTAGCAATCTCTCGAAGCATTTCAGCCGTAGTAAGGGAGGAGAGTGAGAGGTGTTCAATGCATCCAGTGGGTGAGGGCCAGGAATAAACGTCCTACAACGTGCAAGATGGCCCCACCATACAGAACGATCTGGACCCCAAGAGCACTGAGGCTCAGAAATGCCGACGTACAAGATAGACTCTGACATACATAGTGATATGTGGGCAAAGTTATTCACTTTTGTAGTACAACCAGAAATACCTGAGATTCACATGAAGGAATGTTATATTATCTCTAAAAAGAAAATGAGGAAAACTACATACCAGTATGAAGAAATGTGGAAAACTAGGTCAAAGAGCAAGGTGAGCACAGAATGCTACCACATCAGAGAAAGAGAGCAACAGCATACTCATCCTTTCTGCACAGGCATAAAAATGTGTGCAAGGACACACACGTGTAAATACCGAATAGTTTCCCTAGTGTGAGAAACTGAAAGTGTAAATAAGGACTAAAAGGTATAATAGGTAATGTGAAACAAGAAGAAAAGGGGCAAAGGGGAAGGGAAGTGGGAGGGGTAGGGGAAAGGAAAGAAGGGAATGGAATTAATATGAGAAAATGAAAAAATGGAACCAAAGTCTTTGTAAATAGGGAGGGATGGAGGGGTTGAAGGGAGGGCAGGGGAAGGGGGAAAAAATAAGAACCAAGGGAGATTATGTAAAGGTGCAAATTTCCAATGATGCATGTCATTATACTGTATACCTTAAATGTACCAATAAAATAAAATTGTTTTAAAAATGTGCACAAGGAATCATAAGAAACCCTAACAGTAGTCTCCTCTTGTAGGAAGGCTGTTGGATGGACAAAAGACAGGAGGAAGCAGGACGAAGTGGTTCTTTGCTTTGCTCTTTTTTCTCTTGCAGTGCAGAGCCTTGAACCTGCTAGACAAGTCTGCAGGGGACAGCAACATTGATTATGCCCAAAGCAGGCTGTAAGCAGTGCAGGCTGTAAAGAGGTGAGCTTCAAATTGGCTCATTTTAAGAAGTGAGTCTGACTGAAACTTACATGACTTATAGGAGCACCTCATAAGCACCTCAGCGGCGCACAGGTTAGCATGCCCTGCCCGCCAATGGCCAAAGCCAAGACCAGAGTCGTGGCTTGTGAAACTGTGGGCCTCAATATGAGATAACACAGCAGCTGAGTCTGAGTAGCTCACACCCAGAGTCCATTCCTATAACTAAAATCTTTTTTTTTTTGGTACTGGGGATTGAACTTGGGACCCTGTGCTTGCAAGGCAGGCAGCAGAACCACTGAGCTAAATCCCTGGCCTTTGACTAAAATCTTCTTGACTAGAAGGACAAGGTTCTAATTAGAATCCTATATTTTGTCTATTCTATTCCTAATTTGAGAATTCTTTGTCTTTTCCCTTTACAAGCCTTGCCTGCACAGTATCTATAGCAACTGCACAGCTGCACATTCTCTCAGGTAGTCCTGTCCTCGCACGTAGCTCACCTTTACCCCAATTGATTACCAATAAAAATAAGTAGCTTGGACTAACCAGAGCCTTTGCTGGTTTCTCAGCACTGGGCATCCTGGCTCCCCATTTCTCTGTCTCTTTAGTTCTACCTTTTAGTTTTTCTTCAGCCTTGCATCGTACACTGGGCAGGAGACTGGAATCTATTGCAGAGGTTTCCAATACAAGTCCTCCACCACTGAGCTGCACTCCCAGCAGGGGCAGGAAGACCTGTCACACCTGCTTTGACTTTTGATGTCCAAGTCCTCTAAATGTGCCACCCTTATGAAAGCAATTTTAAATCCACTGCAACTTTTCATAAGAATGTGTTCTACCAATTCTTCACTGTCACAATGCAAATCCTCCTCCTGCACCTTACTCTGGAAAATTTAAGTTTAATCAAAGCTGTATTTGAAATAAAATTACTTTCTCCCACCAAGTGAATTTACAATTTGGAGCTGACCAAAATCTGACATTTTCTTTTTCAATGACGTGAAACCATCCCTGAAATTGTCCCAGGGATGTGCACTGTATTTATTGTGCTCAGCATTTATGACAATATACCTAGGAGCCCCTTCCTTTACTCCTCTCCAACCTTTTCCTCCCATCTCTCTGCTCTGACTACAAATAGGGATTTGCAGCCATAGATGGTAAATACAGGTTTATTTGGATCAAATACAAAATTCTGCTCAATGTAACAAACAATACATCGCAACATACCCCACTACGATAAATGTGCTGCAAGTCATTAAGATAGTACTCTTCAATCGAATGGGGCACGCCTTCCACTTCAAAAACATACGCAGGATTCATCTTGTTCTGAACAGGAACAGCAAAGTAGTCTGCAAACTCTTTGCAGTTGATGGTAGCCGACATCAGGACGACCTACCAAGAAGAAAGACCACTCAGACACACAGTGACAATGCTGATCACTGAAATGGAAGCACTGGGCACCCAGGCACATCTACGGCATCACTCCTGTATTCAGTAACTTTTGCAACTTCTAAAAATATCTTGAATTAAGCTCATGTACTGGACAAATTGTTACACTTCAGAGAATGCTCGGAGACACTAACTTTTACTATTCTTCTTCAATTATTTTAGCAAATGAGAAAACACATTCCTTCAAAAATCTAAGTTATAATTGTACCAGGAAATAAATTTTTAAAAATAAGTTACTAGATAATGTGCTCCAGAAAAATGAGTAAACCAACAAAGAAAAAGACAAGAGGTCCGGAGAACCTTGACTATACCCACGGGACCAGAGGCACCCAAGAAAAGACCTGTGCAGCACCAAGGGAACCAGCCCGGTGCTCAGTGGTTTGGCCTATGCAGGCTTGGGGCTGACTGCAGTTTCCAGGTCTGCCAAAAAGAAGACACAGCAATATCAAACCAACACACAAAACCAACAGCCTTCCTACGCAACAGTAGCCTGCCAAAAATAAGTTAAGGAAACAAGTCCATTTACAATAGCTTCAATAGATGATTGAGAGAGAGAGAGAGAGAGAGAGAGAGAGAGAGAGAGAGAGAAAAGGAAAGAAGGAAAGAAAGAAAGAAGGAAGGAAGGAAGGAAGGAAGGAAGGAAGGAAGGAAAGAAAGAAAAGTAAGAAAGAAAGAGAAAGAAAGAATACCTAGGAGTCAACCTAACCAAGAAGACAAAAGGCCTCTACAGTGAAAATTACAGAACACTGAAGAAAGAAATTAAGACTTTAGAAAATGGAAAGGCCAGGCCAGGGATTTAGCTCAGTGGTTCCACCACTTGCCTCGCAAGCAGAAGATCCTGAGTTCAATCTCCAGTACCAAAAAAAAAAAAAAAACAGTAAGGCCATTGGTAGAACTAATATCATTAAAGTGACATTATTGGGCCAGGGATATAGCTCAGTGGTGCTGCATCTGCCTCCCAAGTGCAAGGTCCTTAGTTCAATCTCCAGTACCAAAAAAAAATGACATTACGTTACCAAGAGCAATCACAGAATCAATGTGATTCCTATTAAAATACGAACAGCATTCTCACAGAACTTTTTTAAAATCCTAAAATTTATATAGAAACACAAAAGAGCCAGAATTGCCAAAGCAATCCTGAGGGGAAAAAAAGCAATGCTGTAGGCATCATCATACCTGATCTCCAAAGCCATAGTAATAAAAACAACATGGTATTGTGACAAAACCAGACAGGTAGACTAATAAAACAGAACAGAAGCACAGAAACAAGCCCATGCACCTATAGCCACCTGAATTTTTACAAAACAGCCAAAAACATACACTGAAGAAAAGATAGCTTCTTTAACAAATTTTTCTGGGAAAACTAGATGTCCACATGCAGAAGACTGAAACTAGATTACAATCTCTCACCCTGTACTAAAACCAAATCAAAATGGATCAAAGATCTAGATACAAGACTGGAAACCCTGCAATTGCTGGAGGGAAATAGTTGAAGTCATAAGCACCAGCAAAGACTTCCTGAAGGACCTCAATAGAGCAGGAAATAATATCGAGAATCCACAAATGGACCACATCAAATTAAAAAGCTTCTGCACAGCAAAGGAAACAATCAAGAGTGAAGAGACAACCTACAGAACTGGAGGAAAATCCTTCCAAGCTACTCTTCTACTAATCTAGAGGATTAATATCTAGAATATATAAAGAACCCAACACCAAAAAATCAGTAAGTGGGCAAAGAGGAATGAAAAGCCCTTCTCTCATACATTCTCCAGTCCCCTAGAGCAGCAAAGTGATGGACTGCCGAGTTCAGGATGCATTCATTTAGCACCGAGGATGAACTGGTCACCCGGCGGGAAAAGAGGAGAAACTTCTCCCCACGCAAATGATCAGATTAGACCCTTGGACACTGAGCACCTCATGATTTAGAAAACAACTATCTTCCAGTAACAACAAATCCTTAACAATTCCATGCTATACTGGCATACATATTCCTATTGCTACCAAAGATGGTTCCCAAAGGACTCTGCTTAGCATAGCTGGATTTTTTTAGAAGACATAATTATTCTAAATCCTTCACTGTTTTGCCCTAGTTCCAATCTTCCTCCTTTTTGTTCAAATGAAAAAGGATATTTAACCATTCCCCCCTATGACCTTCAGTAGACTCATGACCTACACCTCTAAAACAGCCATTGATGCATATATTGTCCTTAAATTTCAAAACCCTTTGGTATTTTGGTGCTATTTCCAAAATGATGATTTCAGAGTCATCCCTTTAAACTGTGGTATTTATTCAAGCAAAAGCAAAGCTCCAAGACCCAGCATTTCATTATAGTCAACTATCATTAGATCATTTTCTGCAGCCTGGACAAAGTGCCAGAATTGAATGCAATATAATAACCAAAAAGGATTTCATAGTGCGTCCATAAAAGGACACCTTCCTGCCCACTCCATGGCAAGACCTGGGGTACTACACGTGATGGCCAATTTTAAGAGACTGGGCCCAGTTGTTTCTGTTAAAATAGGGAGAAACAAACTAGACAATAAATCTCAAGTATTTATGTTACTCAGAATATCAAATTTACCTTCACAAAACGTGAATTTGTTCTTAAAAGTTTTCGGACTACCAACAGCAAGAAATCCATTTCTTCAGTGCGCTCATGTACCTACAATATAAAAAGGGGACACTCCACATGGCATCAAGGAACACACATGGCACTGCTGAATGAGCAGAGGGAAAGGGGGTCTTAATGCACCCCTGGGGGACAGGGGACCAAACCATTTCTCGTTGAATGCAGCTCTCCAGGGAAATGGCAACACTCCTGGGTAAGAGGAAACAAAGGGCATCTGCCCACAAATCAGAGGGTACATGTGGGTCACTGTCATTTCTGTGTCTCTTTAGGGCCTTGGCATCTGGCAGAGCAATGTCGAGTATCCTTGGCTCTTTCCACTTAATGTTAATAGATTCCCCAGGTCACTATGACCACTAACAGAGCCCTACCCTACCCTTCCCAAGCACAGAGGACGACTGGGCCCATTGCTAACCCCTCTGTAACCAAAGGGCTGCACATACCTGCATTGTAATAAAAAGTATTAGAAAATAAGGGAAGTTGATTACTTATTTACATTAACTATTTGTATATGTTTATATATAGCCCAAGACAGTTCCTTTTCATTCAATATAGCCCAGGCAAGATGGGCGTGTCTAGCCTACAGCCTGTGGTTGGAGGCTCATGACCTCCCTACACATCTGCTGACTCCTGCCATAGTCTAAAGGCTCGCTGTTATTTTAGCAAGTGCAGGGACATTATGATTTAAATCTAGATGTCCCCCCAAAGCCTCATGAGGTCATAGGTGGAGCTTTTCAGAGGTGGCTGGATCTAGAGTGTGTGATGCTGGGATTAAAGATGCTGGGGTTGATTCACGGTGCAATGCTAGGATTAATGGTGCTCCACCTGGGTGTGAGTGGATAGAATATAAGGGACAGAAAGAGGGCTGCTATTATCACTGTTTGTCCCTTGCTGCTTGCTACTTTTGCTGCCTTCTGCCTGCCATGAATTGTTTCTCCACTGTGATGCGCCCATGCCATGCCACCCTGCCTTGGAGCCAGCCAATATGGACTGAAACCTCTACAAACTGTGAACTGAAATAAACCTTTCCTTGTTTGAGTTTGGGTGTTAGGTATTTTGTCTCAGCAACGAGAACAATAACTAAGACAAGGGATATAGAAGTAGCAATCTAATACTGGCCAGGGAGTCACATATCATGTTCCACAATAGGCAGAGTATACCTCACACAGATGGGCAAGGTTGGCCCTGGACAAGCTGGGCCAGCCATAAGCAAGTAAACCAGGACACGGTTAGGGTCTGAGGTAAACAGGTAGAAGTTGAAGAGCAGTGGCACAGGGCCTTCTTAGAGAAGCAGCTGCCTCCTAGCCCTGCTCAAACAGAGATGGAGACATAGATTAAGCGACCCAAGGATCCACAGCTGTTCCTTCCCACTCTGCCTCACCTGGACCAGCCAGGGACAAGGGTCATTTCTGTAAAAGAATCTAGTTACTCTACTTGGTCAGGATACCTCAGTGGACAAGGGGACAGTAAGATTCTCCCTGGAGACATTTGTCTGCCACTGTGCAGAGCAGCCTAAAGTTGAAGAAGGGAGCCTTCTCCTCAAAAGAGGTAAAAGGGCTGATGCTTCTTTCTATAGCAAGTTCTATTCCAGGCCCTGTGGTACATCTTGCTACTGTTAATTGACACACACATCAAAAGCGAGTGGCAAGACCTCATGCCAACCACAGCCCTATGGTAGGATTTCAGCCTCTACTAAGCTCCCCAGCCCCACCTCACACCCCTGCAATCCTATGTGCTAAGTGGTACTTCTGATCCCTCCAGAAAAGAGCCACATTTTCAGGCAGAGGTATTGATAAGGTTTTAAACACAGGAGTTTGGGGTAGACCTACTTCTGAAGCTCCTGGGAAAGTTGCTGAAACACATCTTCCACCCAGAAAAATTACTCTTGAAAATACAGCTGGGCATGGTGGTGCACACCTGTAATCACAGCACTCTGGCAGGCTGAGGGTGGAGGATCACAAATTCAAGCCCAGCTTGGGCAATTTACTGAGATCTTATCACAAAATGAAAAGTAAAAAACAACTGGAGATGTAGCTCAGTGTGAAGGCACTGGGTTCAGTCCCCAGTACAGGGAGGGAAGAAAGGAGGGAGGAGAGAAAGAAAAATACAAACATCAATCAAATATTCCTTCCTACCAAGAAAAGTCCAGAAAGTGTAGGGGAAGGGGAGAAATAAAAAAAACCTAAGACAGGCACAGAGATAAGGGTTACAATACTTTATTAGAGTTTTTACATCATGGCTAATTGGAGTTCTATATTCCCCACTTATCTATATATCAAATTCTTTTTCCTTGTTTGGGAAGTTTTCTGCCATTACTTCTTGAACAGGTTTTTTATGTCATTTGCGCTATCTCCTGCTTTTTCATTGACTCTGATCAATCTTATATTATTCTTCTTTGCATCATCTAGCAGCTGCTGGATTTCTTGTGGTCCCTTGCTATTTTTAAGAAATCTTTCTTTTCATGATCACTAACCACAATCCTGTTTTCTATATCTGATATTCTGTCCTCACATTGGCTCATTCTGCTGCATATACTTTCAAAGGCATTTTTAATCTCCTGGATATCTGTTTAAGTCTGTTTCATGGATTCCATTTCTTTCCTCTGCAGGGCATTCATAGTTTCCATTATGTTCCTGAGCTCCTCTATCTTTTTATTTGTATCTGTTTTACAGTCACTAAGCATGTCTTTCATTCTGGTCACCATCTTTGTAGTTATCTGAGAAATTATTTCTGCTCTGATTTTTTGTAGAGCCTTGTTCATCTGCTTTGTTACTTCCACTGTTACCACCTCAGAGTCCAGGTGGGTGGCTTTCAGAGTGTTCCACCTCATTGCCCTGAGTTTGCCTTTGGTGACCTGAAAGCCTGGGGAGGTTGCAACTTGTTTAAGTGTCTTCTCATTTTGTATTTTTTTAAGTTTAATTCCTAGGTTGATGCTTATAAATTACTTATGGTGAGCAGCGTTATTGCCAGTATTCAGAACCCTTAGGAAATGAACACTTCTCAGAGGCGTCTGCCAGGTATACCTGCCTTTTGGTTTTGAGTCTATTGCAAGATCCTACCTCTTCAATTTATTGAGGATGAGAAGTTTTTGCCTATGTGGCCCAGCCGGTGGTTCTTTGGCACTGGCCTACAGGGTATTTTTTTTAAGACCCTTAGGCAATCTCAGTCTTGGTATACCACAAAGAACAACTAATTAGCACAGTTATGTCACCGTGGCTAAAGTAGTACAATCAGCAATAACAATCACATCAAACACAGCCTAAAAACAAACTGTGGCAACTATTAATTTTCCACCTTTAACCACATGAAATGGATTTGTGGTTATATAACAAAATCTAAAACAAACCAGAAAATTATATGCAATAAAAAAGTCCTTAAAATGGCAATTTTACCTTTAGGGAGGAAGCTTTAAAAGGGGCTAGGAGGGAAAAAAATGGAGAAATATATAATAAAACACATAATAGAACACATAGTAGAAAAATAATAAAGAACATAAAGAGAAAAGAGAGAAAAAAGAGGAAGAGATTAGAAGCAAGGCTGGAGGACAAAGGAAGATCATGCGAATTTTGGGAAACTGGTGAAGAAAACAAGAGAGAAAGACAAAGGAAAAAAGAAAAACAAGAACAGAACAGAACAAAACCAACCAAAATAAAAACCCAAAAACTGTTCAAACAATCAAGAAAAAAAAAAGAAAAGAACAGAAACCAGAAAAGAGGAATAAAGAAAAAAAAGTCAATTCTGGCATGTCTCTGTTGTCACTGGTAGACAATGTGGGCATACAGTCCAGATGTGAATTGATTAATCCCAGCAAGCCAGCCATAGCTTTACAGTGGGGTAGTAGATAATCCCAGCCATCCTGCACCCTTAGTTCCACTGAATTTCAGGCTGGTTTCTGGCTATAAGGCTGGAACCAGATTCGCTGAGCCTACAACAATCCATATGCCCCTTGCCACCTTGAACACTGCTTACTGATGACTTGAACTTCGCTCCCTGACCTCGTGCTGACTGGAACTTAGCACCCTCACCAAGATACAGAGAGTCACTACATGGAGTCAGCCCATAGCTGTTTTGAGTTCCAAGCTTAGTTAGGCCCTCTCCAAGATGGCTATCAGCCAATCACCCTCTCCTGGGTGAGGTTTGAACCTGAATAACTTACCAGACAGACTGCAGACTACTGCATCTACTGCTCCATTCCACTGGTACATTTCTCCATGGACACCTCTGGGGCTGCCAGTAGTCACCATGCATCTGCAAGTTTGACCCACCATTTCCATGCCGTGAGTCCAGGCTCTAGGAGAAAGCACTGCTTGCTACCTCCCTCTTCTTTGTTGCAGGCTCTTTCTTCACTCTCTCCATGGATTTCAATTCTTGCTTCAGATCCTTCCTGGGTCTTGGGGACTCACTTCCCTCCTTCTCATCCTCACACTGCTATATTCCAGGGTCAGGACACCAAATCTCAGAGAGGCTCTTTCTCTGCTGCTCACCACTCCACCATCTTCCCCAGAGTTTTTCTTGGAAAGGTAAGTAGATTGCTATCTCTTTTCTAGCCCCATAGTGCTCAGGGTGGAACCCAGGACATTGCCATGCCAGGTTAGTACTCTACCACTGAGCTGCATCTCCAGCATCCCCTTTTTTATTAAGTATTGTTGTCCTTGACTTACTATATAGAAAGTTCCTGCAGGTGGCTGAAAACATCCATACACAGTCACAGTTCTTGCAACTGTCTGTCTGTGTGGCATGGTCCACCAAGGGTTGGCAACTCCTTGTAGAAAATGGACAAAACAGGGCCGGGGATTTAGCTCAGTGGTTCCACTGCCTGCCTCACAAGCTCAAGGACCCAAGTTCGATCCCCAGTACCAAAAAAAAAAAAAGGAAAGAAAATGGACAAAACGTATCCCTACCTTTGGGGCCTCAAGGGCTCTATACAACCACAGACAGCATGTAAACAAGAGAGGGACACTGCTCCAGGAAAACCTGCTTTACACAGGTGGGTGCCAGATCTGACCTGGGGCCAAAGCCTTCCTACACCAGCTCTAAACAAGGAGTCTTTTCCTAATCATTCTTCAATAGCCCATCCATATTTTGGGACAAAGAACAAAGATTAAATACAAAATTTACATTCCTAAGTAGAAAGGGTAGATGCAGACCCAAAGTACTGACCAACTCATCACAAGAGGACACAGTGAGGGAAGCTGTCATCCTGCTAAAGCAAGGACCCACACAAGAGGCCAGAAAACTCACTTCATCAATGAAGACATGCGTGAATTCCATCAGACTCTTGGCGCTGACTATTTTCTGAAGCAGGATTCCGGTGGTCATGTAAATTAACCTGGTGTCTTCTGTTGCTATCTTCTCCAGCCCTACCTAAAACCAGGGAGGGAAAAGAGAAAGGGGCAAGAGTTCAGGTTTCAGTGGCTCCTACTTAACTACCCAAAGAGGCTATGTCCATTTCATAATGGAGGTAAGAAAATATTATTATATTTCCAAAGATATATAGAGTCCAAATTAACAGTCAAGTTCTCAAGATGACTTTTTTGTCTTTTGTCTTATCTAGTGATGCTTCTGCCCACAGACTTGCATGTAGTACCACCATGCATGAAGACACCTTCTCGACTACAAACATACAGCTATTAAAGCCATGAGCCTGAGGGTTCACACTTTTGTCCTGTTCAACTAAGAAAGAAATTAAGTTATGTTCAATAAATTCAGTTTCATTATTTTTGTAAATTATGTCACCATTCTATTCTGTAATGGTTCCATTTTAATTTCCAGTAGAAAATAGTCATGTCCTATTGTCAACTTATGCAGAATAAGAGACTGACAATGAGAGAGTTTGCTTCCTCTCTCTTCTCACCTGGTAACCCACCAGGCCGCCCAGGGCCCATGAGCGCTCTTTACTGATCCACCTGGCAATGCTGCTGGCTCCTATCTTCCGTGGCTGGGTAACCACAATGTTGCAGTAAGTAGAACGCTGAACATAATGATCCAAGATGTACTGCGGGAGTTGAGTGCTCTTGCCACTTCCTGTGGTGCCGTGTATAATTACCACAGAATTGCTTTCTATCAAAGAAATAACCTGGAATTTAAAAAAAAATAATAATTAGCTTTCAAAATTGACACAAAAGTAGAAAAGTATCATCTATCTTAGAAATACTTTCAGGGTTTATTTTTCTTCAATTTAAATTACTAATTAACCACCTAAACATCACAAAAGAGCACAAGAAGGCTACAAAACAGTTGCTACTTTTAAAACCAATTCTACTACTATAACTACTAACAGCTATGGAAACCAGGCCAACATAACTTCAGCTCTCTAGGTCTCAATTTCTTCCACAAAAATGAAAATACTAAAAAATTTCATTTCAAACTGGGCAAGGTAGCGCACACCTCTAATCCCAGCACTCGGGAAGCTAAGGCAGGAGGATCACTATGAGTTTGTTTGTTCGGTTTTTTTTGGTACCGGGGATTGAACTCAGGTCCTTCTGCTTGTGAGGCAGGCGGCGGAACCACTGAGCTAAATCCCCAGCCCATTGTAACCAATCTGGCTTATTTCTTTTTTTGGTACCGGGGATTGAACTCTGGACCTTGCGCTTGCAAGGCAGGTGGCGAGGATCGCTATGAGTTTGAGGCCAACCTGGGCTACACAATTGAGTTGAAGGCCAGTCTGAACTACACAGCAAGACTCTGTCTCAAAAAACTTTTTTTCCTTTAAAATTATTCAGATGAACTTTTGAGACATTCTTCTGTGTGTGTGTGTGTGTGTGTGTGTGTGTGTGTGTGTGTGTGTGTGTGTGTGTGCTGGGGATTGAACTCTGGACCTTGGGCATCAGATGAACTTTTAAGAAGTTAACTTTGACTTTTCCACTTACAGGTTATACAGACTATTCTAGAACCCTAATTCCACTCTTCCCACACAACTTCTTCATTGCCACCCTAAACTTATGTAAACTCTCCTATCATTCCAGAAATTGACATGATCGGGGAATACAAATTAATTTTAATATTGGCCTCTAAAAATGAATAAAATATACCTATCCTATAAACATTGTATGATTCAATCTTAAGCAAAATAAAATTTGGGACAATTTCTATTTTATCTATAACTGTTTCTTCCACTAGAATAGCCAATAAAAATTTTAATACCCTTTCTTTAACCATGTTTAATAACATGCAATTCATTAGAAACCCAACCATCCTACTGCTAGATCTGAACTGGCATTGGTAACAAAATGATGTGTATTCAATGACTGATCAAATCAGGGGCAACGCTGTAAGAAAAACCTAATGGAAGGCTGGTTATATATTTCAGTGGCCCTGGATTTGATCCCCAACCCTGCAAAAGCAATGGAGATGCTGGAGTGTGTTATTTCTTTTTAACAAGACCCAGCAGTAAGTTTCTAAGTAAGAAGCTCTCCCCAGGTGGGGCAGGCATGCAGACAGGAAAGGCTGGGTGAAGAGCTCAATGCCAGGAGATACACTCAGGTGGAGGCTAAATACATTAAGCACAGGCCAAGAGGAACATCGGCGCATGGTTATTGCATAAAACCACGCTGGTCCACATCTGCAATCCCAGCACTCAGGAAGCTAAGACAAGAGGACTGCAAGTTCAGTGCTAGCTTGGGCTACATAGCAGGTTCAAGGCCAGCCTGGACCACATGGACTCTGTCTCATGAAATGAGAATAAAAACTCAAAACTACCTCCATCTGCCTCAGGGCCTCACACCCACAGGTGTGCTCACCTAGTAATTTTCACATTCTAAAGAACAACATTGGGCTTCAGGAATTTATTCAACCAGCAAAATTACATTTACAAAAGTAACTTTACCTTTTCCTTACATCGATTTATAGGCAAATCAGGATATGTGTAAGTTGTCTCTGGGATACATGTCACATTGCTTAATTTAATCAGAGATGGTCTTGGACCTGGATTCAGACAAAACAAATAAAGACAATGATATATCTTGCCTGAAAAAAGATGAAGTAACCAAGCCAATGTTATATCAAATCTGCATATATGGCATGTACAGGGCACACAGGCAGATGCAAAGAATGCATTTTCACAGGCTAACTCCACCAGCAGTCTCCTGAGAAACTTCCCCAAGTAGCCCACTGTTAATGATGCAGACAATCAAACTGAGCATTCAGATCCTGCCTCACAGCCACCACCGCGTGGGCTCACGCACCTCCTAAGGCAAGCACCTGCAAAACACAGTACTCACTCTTTCATTAGATGGTACTGAAAAGGATTCCAGCAGAACACATCGACATGTTAACTGTGTGTTCCGGCTGATAAAATAAATTAACAGTAGCAATAAATAAATCTCATCAACTTACAAACTACAGGTGCGGTGACAAGGGCCAAACTCAGTTTGCTAGGGTGCTGGGAGTGATGTTTGAGCAGCACTCCCTACTCCATGTCCTATGAATGTGTGCATCGCTCAGCTGCCACCTCGGATCCCGAATGACCTGTGGCTATCACTCCATGCACAGAAGCAGCATCGAAATTCATGAGGTACGAGGCTTCTCTGGGCAAGAAGTCTCACTTCCAGAATAGACTCAGGCCTTCCTGCCTCTCTGCCAGACTCCCCCTCTGCACACCTCTCTCCCACAAAGCCCCCCCTCCCTGCCCTCCTTCTTTCTTTCTGAACCGACAGCTCCCCCTTGCCACTGTCTGCCTTTGTAAACATAGCCTTCAACCTTTACTTTCATAGTTGGTCTAATAATATATGATTAAAATGTGGTTACTTTCTATATATCATAAGTGAAGTACATGTTCATATACACACTGTGCACACACACACACATGTGCTGGGACCAAACCCAGGGCCTCCCATGTGCTAGACAAGCACGTGCCTCCAAAGCCCTGCCCCACCCCTCCGTTCCGGTATTTGAATCAAGTTGTGTGGTCCTTGTTCTCAATTTCAAAAGTGGAGGGGCAAGATCTCAAAGCAAAACCTGCTCCTTTGTGGGAAGCCGAGCCCCTTCTCCATCCAGCCCACTGGCCTGGAAACAGTCCCCAAGTCCTTCTCCGCACAGCCTCCCTGGCCCTCACCACCCTCCCCAGCCACTGTGGAGCTCACTGGAACTACAGGGTTTCTTTGCAACATATGTCACTGTCATGCACCACTCCTGCCAGCTCTGAAGAGCATCAGCGATGCCTCCTCCTCCCAGTTGGTGCGCCAAGCCCAAGAACACCATTGGGAGGAGGAGGAGAAGCCACTGACCTCTGAGAGAGGCACACACCGCAGGGGCAAAGGGAAAAGCAAGCAGCTGGGGCGAGTGGGAAGAGCTATCCAAGGGAAAGCGTGGGGTCTCCTTTCTCTTTCTAGTACTGGGGACTGATCACACGGCCTCTAAACTGAGCTACATCCTTTTTATTTACTGTAATATTTTTTTGAGACAGATTTTTCGTTGAATTGCCCAAGCTGGGCTTAAACTCCCATGGTGCTAAGATTACAGGCCGGTACCACCACATCTGGCTGTTATGACCACTCTTTTAGAAGGACAAAAGAGGAAGTGCTGAATGTTTTTGCTAAGAGACTTTAAACCCTGGTTCACAGTGCTGCTAAGTGAGTCCTGTTACTCTGACAATATTGACATGACTTACATAACCTGACTACATGTATTCTGAAGGTCTGCTGCTTAGAGACAGAAATTACAAGGAAAATGCCCGAAGCCCCCACAGCGCTGTCTGGTCCACAGCTGTACCCTTGTGCCACAAAACACCACCTGACACTTTCAGGTCACTGGATGCAGCAGCCCACGAAGATGCAGCCCTGCTCTGCACAGCCCCGGGCGGGCGGGCGGGCAGGCAGGCAGCAGAGTTGCTCACAGCATGTGCGGCTCTATGACTTCACATCTCCAACAAACAAGAGACCCGTCAGGATGATCCAAGGCAAGTCAACAAACCACACAGGACAAAGGGAGGTCAGAGTAGCATGAGAAATACCACAACCTGAAAATCTGCTATTCTCATTTTCCCTTTATGTCTCTCTCTCTTTTTTTTTTTTTTTTGGTACCGGGGATTATGTCTCTATTTTAGATGATTAACATTAAAATGTTACATGAACCGGAAAAAAACAGAAATTATAAAAACTGCTAGTTCTCTTTACTAAACTGCCTCACCACGTCATCATCAACCAAACTTAAAACCTAACCAAAAAGTTCCACAGTCAGAGATCCAAAACAGTGTAACGGATTTTCACTGACGGGCAGTATGTCTGTCAGTGCATATGAGGAACAGTATTTCCTATCTTCAAATCTAGACAGTGTACATGACGGAAAAGAAGTCTAATTACTGCTGTTCTGACTAACCCTGACATTAAATCTTTGAAATACATAATTATACATCACCCTCTCAAGGGTGGGACAATGTTCTGCATATAACGCGGAGCCCGCCTGGAAGAGGGAGGACTGTTTCCCTTCTCAGACAGTCCATAAAAGTTGCCCTCTTGAAGGCTCAGAAGAAAAGCTCAGAGAGGGATGAAAACAATCACTAAAAAACATCCCCAGATTTAAAAGGAGGCAGCTTTGTGGCGTTTCATCAACACCAAAGACTCCAGCCCAGGAAAAATTCAAAAGTTCAACATGAAAGCAGAAGAACCCTGAGGAGACCACAATGTGGAACCAGATCTTACTATTTAGGAATGACTTCATTTGTCCATGCTACTCATTACTGATCTTTTAAAAGTGTTTTACTTTACCTTCCCCAAAGAGTTAAAGACATCAATATTACAGTGAGGCATGCCCACTCATGCTCATAGCAGCACAAGTCATAATAGCTATATGTCCATCAACAGATGAATGGATAAAGAAAATGTGGTATTTACACAGAATGGAATGTTACTGTGCTATAAAGAAGGAAAAATTTGATGCATTAGTAGGAAAATGGACGCACCTTGAGACCATAATGCTAAGTGAAATAAGCCAGACACACAAGCCTAAATATCACATGGTTTCTCTTATATGAGAAACCCAAGATGTAAATAATTTAAACAGCAGATGCTGGCTGCGGCACGCCGTTAAAGCTGCACAGTACCTCACCGCACTGGCAGGTACCGTCCTCTGTTCAGTCATTCAGGACACTGCCAAGACTTCTCCCAGATACACGGTAACGCAGTAAACAACTCCGTACTTCTCTTAGCATAAGCAAAAACTGCATCAAAGGGCCTATATATTTTTCTCTTTTTTCGGCACTGGGGATCGAACTCAGGACCTTGCACTTGCAAGGCAGGCATGGGCACCACTGAGCTACAACCCCAGTCCCTAGGCCCACATATTTTTAACTATCACTTCTGCTAACAGTGCAGTCACTACATTATTGTTGTTCAGACAAATCTCCCTCCAGAGGCAACTAAAGATGCTAAGTAAAACACAAAAACATCTTGTTAAAGGCATGGAAGGGATAAGCAGCCAATGAAAAGATACCAAGCCAATGTTTAAAAACAGACAGGAAGGCAAAGGCCTCAGGCTGCTTTTGCCTTAAGATGAAAGATGAATGAGAAATTAACTATAATACAGCCTGGTGGCATTAAAAAAATGAAAGGAAAATATTGTCCTAACTTCAACTTCTGTCCTCACTCACAGCACAGGTATACATACGATAGAAGGACAGGAGACAGAGCTTCTCAGCAAAGTGGGCAGTCTGTATAGATGACTTTTTATAAAACAAAAATCCAAAGGGCATCTTCTATCACATGAACAGGGTCTAAGGCTAAAAATATAACAAAAGCAACTCATTCCACCCTCTCCACAGTGTGCCCTGGGCTAAGAGGTGTAAAAGGACCCTTCACTTTTTATTTACATATTTCTGCTTTTTAAAAATTTTGTTTTAGGGCCGGGGATGTAGCTCAGTGGTGCCGCCGCCTGCCTTGGAAGCGCAAGGTCCAAGTTCGATACCCGGTATAAAAAAAAAATTTTTTGTTTTAAAAAGTTTTTTGTTTTAATGTTTACTATAAAAAACTTAATTCCTATAAGTTTTTAAATGAAAATTTTAAGTACTTTTAATGAATAGTAAAGCAAGGGACGAAAGAACAGACTATTTAGAAACTATATTTAAGGTAGAACAAAATGAATACTTTACAACCTATCACACACTTACTCCAAAAAAGATCCTGATCTAACAAGCAATATAAATTCCCTAAAGCACATAATCTTTTAATGTGTGAACTACCCACATATCACCACATTTAAGGTTTTTTGTGGGGGGGTTGCTTTTTGGAGACAGGGTCTCGCTGTCATTCAGGCTGGCCTTAAGCCCCCTATGTTGCCCAGGCTGGCCTCAAACTCACAGTGATCCTCCTGCCTCAGGCTCCCAAGTCCTGGGATCACAGGCGTGTGCCACCATGCCCAGCTATAAGGTATTTAAAGAGAGCTGCTTACCTTGCCTATGTGTTGGTTGGTCACTGCCATACATGTCAAATTCTTGTGCTTCTAGTTGTCTGTATTTGTTAATATACTCTATCTCTGAACTCCTCTGGCTGAACGATCTGAAAACAATAATACAAGTTAGTGTGCCACATGATCTGCACCATCAACATGACTGCATTAAGAGGCTTCTGGAGAGGAGACTGACTGAGAGCACTAACTGCTGAGCTGAACAGCCTACTGGGGTGGGGTCCAGCTGGACCAGGCAGGTCATGGGGTGTGCCCTTGGGAACTGCATCTGCCCTGCCCTTCCTCCTGGGCTCTCCCCCAGCTCTCTACTTCCTGGATGACATGAGGTGAGCAGCTTCCTCTGCCAGGCCCTTCAGAATCTTTGTAACGGTTATCACAGGCACACACAGAACCCTCCCTTCATAGCCTCCTGACTCTGTTTTGTTTGGGTTTGACAGTGACTCCTTTTTCATACTGACAACTTTCACAATTTCTTTTTCATGCCTATTTGCCCTGGCTAGAATTTCAAGTATTATGCTGAATAGAAGTGATGAAAGTAGGCATCTCTGCTTTCTGATCTTAGAAGAAATTTTTCAGTCTTTCCCCACTAAGTTGTGAGCTTTTCATATATGGCATTTATTATGTTGACAGTTTCCTTCTTTTGTTGACTATTTTTATATAAACCTCTTAAAAAGCAGGGTATGGTGGTGCATGCCTACAATCCCAGCACTCAGAAGGCTGAGGCAGGAGGATCACTGTGAGTTTCAGGCCAGCCTAGGCTACAACATAGTGAGTTCAAGGCCAGCCTGAACTACATAGTAAGACCCTGTCTCAAAAAAAAAAAAAAAAAAAACCTCATAGAAACACCATTTTAACTTTTTTTAAAATGAGCCAATTGGGCCGGGGATTTAGCTCACAGTTCCACTGCTTGCCTTGCAAGCGCAAGGACCGGAGTTCAATCCCTGGACCCAAAAAAAAGAGCCAATAAGTCAGAACTTTTAATTCCATAGTAAAGGATTTGAGGGAGGTGATATAGGGTCGCACTACATAGTTCAGTCTGGCCTTGAACTCACTGTGCAGTCCAGGCTGGACTCAAACTCACAGTGATGCTCTTGCCTCAGCCTCCAGAGTGCTGGGATTACAGGCTTGTACCACCACACCTGGCTATAGCAAAGGATTTAAAACAAAAGAAATGAATAACTGATAATGTGAAATAGGAAGAAAAAGTCCAAAGGGGTAAGGGTGGTGGGAGGGGAATGGGAAAGAAAAGAAGGGAAAGGAAAAACTATGAGAAAAGCAAAAAATGGAAACAAAGTCTTTGTAAATAGGGAGGGGTAGAGGGAGTGAAGTGAGGGCAGGGGAATGGGGAAAAAATAAGAACCAAGATACATCATGTACAGGTACAAGTTCCCAATGATGAATATAACTGTACTGTATACCTGAAATGTACCAATAAAAGAATTTGAGAAAAAAAATAAAACAAAAGGGTATTAGTCTCCCCACAAAGAACAATCTTTAACTGGAATCTAATGCTACTGAAAACTATAGCAGGCAGACTTGACTGTAATATCTAAAAACTTGTTCCTAGCCCCTTAGTTTGCCTTCCAAGATTCCCTAATTTGGTATTGCTATGTATTTCCTTGTACATCTTAAAATTTTACATGGATAAACACACATATTACAAATGATATGGTCTTTTTCATCTTGAGCCTTTTAAAATGTTGTATTATTTAAGCTAAGCACGGTGGCGCACACCTGTAACCCCAGCACTTAGGAGGCTGAGGCAGAAGTGTCAAGAGTTGAAAGCCAGTTGTGAGTTCAAGGCCAGCCTGAACTGCACAGCAAGATCCTGTCTAAAATATACATATATATTGTACACGTATATATAATTTACCTAAATATAGCCTAGAATACCATGACAACCACCAAAACAAAAATGACCTGTTTAACAATTTAAGCTTTATGTCTTCCACACAAAAATCCTAATAAGGTTGTGATTTATTAGAAATAATTCATTTACTGAACTTACTAAAATATTTGATAAAATCTAATGTTAATCTGGTTTTATCCTAATAAAGAGGAAAAATTAATAAAATGTACCTCCTTATCTTGATTTACAAATACTACCTATGCTCTCTTTCTATATGGTAGTAAAGAAAATACCATAGAGAATGAAATTTGGTCTCTGCTTTAATCTAACAATTTTAGGATAAAGAGAAAAAGTAAAATGTGGAACAATACAAGTAGCATAACCAAGTACTAGAAAGCTGTTTCATGCAAAGAAGTTCAAAGGAAGGCATGAAGTAGTAAGAAAAGGTCTGATGCGGGCAAGGGGGACAATAGCAGACAGGTGTCCACGGGGTCCAGTGGCGAGGGAGATGGCCTCCAAGAAGCCGCCTCTGTGACTAATCACTGACCTGTCCACCCTTCCCCAGAGGACACTCCCATCAAGAAAGCCCTCCTGTCCTCCAGATCTAACTGGGGAGCCACTTCAAGTGTGTTAAGTAGCACATGGTGATCTGCAGTTGCCTTACTTGTGTCCTTGGAAGGCCTCTTGAAGCAGGAACGACGGCTGTCCAGTTCACTGCCACATCCACAGCCCCATCCCTCCAGCCCATGGTATGGAGCCAAAAACATTTGCTGAGCGACTGGATGCCAGCAGTTACAGTGCAAGATAGAGCAGCAATGAATCGGACAGCATGAGAAAAAAACGGGGACTAGAACAGCATCCAGGGGAAGAATAGAGCCAAGGAAAGAATGTGGATGAATTGAAATGTGGGTTGGCATGTGAACTAGACCCTGAGAAGGAGAATTACAATGTGGCTACATGAAAGACAAAAAGCATAAGCCTCTGAGAAGAGTCTGTGTAATCAAAGCTGAGGGATCCAAAGTGAGTACTGCAAAATGGGGCGTTAAACAGGGTACTGGGGTGGTACAAGAAGGAAAACTAGGCAAGAAGGCATGATAATTCAGACTGCAGAGGGCTTGGGAGGGAATGTGGTTTATGGTTCATATTCAATATATTCTGAGGGCCAGGAATTTAGCTCAGTGGTTCCGCCGCCTGCCTCGCAAGTGCAAGGACCTGAGTTCGATCACCAGTACCAAAAAAAAAAAAATAAACCTAATATAGTCTGGTATTTTTTGTTAACAGTTCAGGGCAAAAAAAATTTTTAAGCAACAAGGTATTCAAAGGAAGAGGTGGTGATATTCACTGCTTCAGCATAAAACTTGGTAGGACATTTCTGTCATGATAAAGTCCATTCCTTTTCTTCTCCTAGTACTATATACAATCTCATGTGAAAACCTTGTACTGAAGATAATGAATCCTGATGTCTTTTTCCAGCACATGAGAATAGGGGCTATAGGATGACCACACGTCACTCTTGATTGCATGTGGCACACAGGTCTCGTGAACAATGTCTCTTCTCTCGGCTCATAGGAAGGAAAAGCAATAGAAAAACCAAGTATTATAAAAGAAGAAACCAGTCTAGTCACTTACAGAGATCCAGAGTAAAAGACCCTTTACACCCTAATGAAACAGGCCAGACTCGGCCTGTTAGAATTCATCCCCTCTAACAAGCAAAATTCTTGAATAGGAAACTAGCACAATAAAGCCCAATGCACATCACCACTCACCTAAACACAAGTGTCAGTGTTTCATCTGCAACTCCAAGACAAAATGCTAACATGGTATCTACAATGAACTGTAAGATTGTGTTTTGAGCTTTGTTTCTATGTCTCTTTTTTCCTGATAACCCATTACTGCCTTAGCACCATAGAGCTACAGAGATTACTAAGTGCATTTTAAAGTCCTTATAATGTCCTCTAGCATTTCAGCATTCTTATATAAATTACTATTTTGCAAGAAAAATGAATACAGAATGTTGTATTTGCTAAATAGTCACACATGACGATGTCAGCATGCTTTGTCTATGTTGCTCAATTACAACACACTTCCTCGGAATGTGTATTTTGCACATAGTCAAGTCTGATCTGTTTTTCCTGCTTTTATTAGAGGGGACAGAGACCTGGCTTCTAAATGGCCTGGAAGTTAAGCTGAAGAATAAAAGCAACATGGTTATTTTTAGAGCTCTACAGGCATAAAAATACAGCACTAAACTGTGACCTACAGCTATGCACAGCAACGCATCACATCATGAGACAGTCTCCGCTTTAGCCACGAGCACATCTGTGGTGCTTCTGAGGGTGTGCTCCATTTCACTGCCAAAGACACGTCCAACGGGCTTGGGACCAGCATCCACTGCTGCCGGCATCTTTTTCAAACAGAATGAGCGCGTTTAGAAGGTAGACCATTAAACAATTTGTGAAGATTCAATAGTAAGTTATTTTTGTCATTTCTCCTAGCTTACTTACAAGGTGAATTAATGAGCATTCTCTCCAAATGAAGACATCACAACCTCATTCCTAACATAGAAAGTTGTTTATTTCAAATATAGTTTCAGTGGGTAAATCGGGAGGCTCCTTCCTTCAATAGAGAACACATCCAGGAGAAAGAGAGATGCCTGAGTGAAACACAGCTTCATCTCCAACCTGAGTCAACTCTGGCAACAGCCCCACGTCAGACTCATCAACTTGGCAGGTAAGTGCTAAGCCTTTTCTGTACAAAGTATAAATCAAAAGTGTCTGAAATGGTATTTTCCAATGCATTAATATTTTAAAGCTTCCAAAGAATTCTAATAGCAAGTGTTATTTTCAGAAATTGTTCAATTTGTAGATTACCCCTGACTTTGTATTTAATTTCTGTTTAGCAATATAAAAGTATTTTCAAAGCTTGACTTTTGGCACTGACCTACTTAGAAATGAAAAGACTTTAATCCATGTTCTAATCTTATATTGACCTGCATATCTAACTAGTGAAAAATTCATGCACTTTTCTGGCAATCTTATTTTAAGCCAACAAATATTTGCTCATCAAAATCATAAAATTATATGTAAATAGACAAGTGAGAATATTTCTACAGGCTAAAAATGCCACTTTTTGGCTGGATGAAGTGGTCAAAACGTGATTCCTACAAACCCACACACTATGCTGGCTCAGACGTAGTGACAAAGACTCTGCTTCGGGAACTAAAATGGCATCTAAAGGAGAGAGACAGATTAATACAAGAAATCGAAAATGAACAAAAAGTAAGAAAAACAGGTGTGGATTACAACTGGCTGAGAAACTACCAGAATTCTTACACAACTATCCCAGCTACTGAACAAAGACAACTTGAAATTCTTTGCTCACAAATTCAACCTTGCCAAACTGGAACTGTTCTCAGCAGGTAAAAATACTGTGTTCTTTTCTTATGTTATGAGCTACTGCCAAGTCCAACTTCTTCACATAGTAGACTGAAAACCGTAATCTAATATGTAAATTGTGTGTACCAAATACCAAGTCACCAAAATCACTAGAGATAAAACAGACCACAATATCTAAGTATATCTCACTGGTAAGAAATTTTTAAAATTACAATCAAAACTTAACTAGACACATAACATGAAAGCCATATGCAAATTACTCACAGGGCGGGTGACTGGTACACAGCTATGTTACAAATGCTGCATTTTGGCGATGAAGGGATACGCCAAGAGAGATTTCTGAGTTAACTCTTCATTCCCTAGATTTCGAGAAGTTTTGGCAGAAAACGATGTGCTGCCATGGGAAATAGTCCACATCTTCAAGCAAGTTCTGAGAGACTTCCTCGGCAGCTTGGACCATGAGAGTCACGGAGACAGCCCACAGGAGACCCCAGAGACGGGCTGTCCCCCTCCCTCTGCACCGCCAGGTGCCCGTGCCCAGAGTTCGGGCAAAGACGAAATACCTACCATTTCTAGTTACGTAGACAGAAACATACAGAACAGGTTCCCGTCATGCTCATACAGAATATGGAACCTACCATATTATTACCCATCAAGCTGGGGAGGCATCTGAAACCAGCAACTTTTATGACACCTTAGAATCAGAGCTCTTATTACAAATACAAAAAATGTGGCTTCAAGTTTGTTTCAAGGTCAGAAGTTAAATTCCTGTGGATGCAACCTGTTTAAAATCATAGTCTTTTCTTAACCATTCGAAATATGCAATGTTCCATTTAACAGTATGCTTTTAAAGAATATGTTTTCTAAATATTTTGAAAAAATGTTTGAAGTATTTATGCCTCAAACACATCTCACTAAGGCAATTTAGTATGAAGTTTGACAAATTCTGTGTGAAACTTAGCTAATCTTGACTTTGATTCTAAAAAACTATGTACAGAATAAATGCTTGGTGTAAATTTTATCTTTATAATACAACACTGAAATGAAAAGAAGTCAACATTCCATTCCATGTCACTCTCAACAGGGGACAGGGAAAGGGGCAGGGAGGCAGAAATAGCACGCAGTTTAAAACAGAGCAGTGCTTTATCTGGACACGCAGATTAATTTTGTTTTCAGATTAATTTTTAACCACAATATCTTTTATCTCAGCATTAAAGGAAAACATTTTAAAAGCACAGCTCTGTATTATTTCAGTAAAATTTTTTAAAAGCCTGATTTAAACAGTAGTAGCTGCTACTATCAAAGAAAAGCATTTGCCAAGCACTGTGGCACATACCTACAATCCCAGCACTTGAGAGGCTGAGGCAGGAGGACCACGAATTTGAGACCAGTCTGGGCTACATGCAAGATTCTATCTCAAAATATAAATATATAAATGCATAGATAAATAAAATTTTTAAAAAGAAAAACATTCAATGCTGACATGTAATTTAAATCTATACTATGCTCATATGAAATAATATATAAACTCATCATTTCATAACTTCATTAAAGAAGAAAACTATACATTAGGTTTATATGTTTTGATAAAGGACTAGCATCTCTACCTTTTCTGTTTGATTTTTTTTTTCTTTTTGGTACCAAGGATCAAACTTGGGACCTTGCACTTTCAAGACAGGCGGTGGAACACTGAGCTAAATCCCCAGCCCCTACCATTCTTGATAAAGGTGAGATCAAAGACTCTTTGTGTACCTTCAAGGTATCTATAACTTCATATGTTTAGATTGTGGTTTTCTTTCATCTACAAAGAAAAAAACTCAAGATCAGAATTAAAAATGCACTTTTTAAAAACCTACTTCTGAGTTTGATCGCCGGTATCAAATGAAAAAAACCTAATTCTAACTCTTTTCTCTCAGCGCTCCTGACCAACTACTTCTACACCGCCGATGGCGAACCTCTTAGCACATTCAATGGTACAAATAGCCCACTGAGGCACGAGCGCCACGGGTTCACTACCACTGCTCTACACCACTTTCAATCGGTCTCAATTCGTCCCTAAATGCCAATCATGTAATAAATAGTGCTTCACAGGACAAGGAAAACAGAAGCAGAATCCTAAGTACAACTAAAATAAAGACACTTCTCACTGCTGCTCATTTTCTGTTCTGTTTTCATGACATGACCACCTTGGGCTTCTTCAATCACAGCAAGATTGCTCAGAAGGGAAACTATCTGTGGCAGATAAATGTCCCACAAGCACACAGGTGCCTCTTGTGCTGTGAACACAGAAAATAGAAAACATGGGTTTTAAGAAAATATCATTGTCTTCATGGCAAGAACAAAAATTTGTTTTAAAAAAAAACCCTTTGAGTTTGCCTCTGAAACCCAGTACTAGAGCCAGTGGCTCCTCATTCCGTGAGGAGTGAGGCACCCTGCAGGGCCACTGCATTGGACTCTCCCTCCACACACCATGCCCAGTGCTTCCCAGGCAGGGCAATGCTCCATGCTCAGACAGGAGGAAGCTGCTTTTCCAAGAAGCCCACCACAATGCCAGCTCCTCAGGAGGCTGAGGCCAGAGAACCACCTGCACCCAGGACCAAGGCCAACCTGGACAGCAGTGAGACCTTAGCTCAAAAACAAACAAACAGGAAGCTCACTGTGGCTGACAAAGTCAGTGGTGTATGAAGTGGGCAGTGGCGCCACTCTGCCAACCAGGATGAGGATGCACGCCCTGCACCCTGAGTCACCAGGTTTAGGCGGACGGGAGGGCACCGAGTTGAGCTTCTCTCTTTCACTTTGCTGTTGGAAAGAAACTAAAAACATGTTTCTTGTAAAAAGTTTTAGTTTAGAAAGTTTAAAACTATGGTTGTTTCTAGAAAATCAATAAATCAAATAGAAACTTTAAAACAACTTTCTGAATATTAAAGATCCAAGTTTTTATACACTGGGGTGTTTATAATACCTAAAGCTGGCAAAGGAGTCTGGGTCAAAAACGTAAGGAGTAAAAAGGGGAAGAACTACTGGGAATGCTTCAGGGACAGTTTATCATGATAAAGTGGGCCGGGGATTTAGTTCAGTGGTTCCACTGCCTGTCTCACAAGCGCAAGGACCCAAGTTCAGTCTCCCGTACCGCCCCCCAGAAAAAAAACCCTAAAAAAAGAGAGTGAAAGTGGTGTGAGCATAGCAGCTACAAACTTTGTAAGACAGGAAGCAGTCAATAAATTCATGTAAAAGCATTCTGAATATTACCTGACACAACAGGCTGTCAAACATTAGCATTACTAACTAGCCCAATCCAACTCACGTCAAAATAATTTTTCTACCTACCAGGCACATACACAGTCAGTGTCGTTTAACCCTAACCTTGGAGGTCAGTGATAATGCTCCCTTTGGCACAGAAGCAAACAGCCTCAGGTCTGTTAAATGCCCAGCTCAAGATAACTGGCGGAGCCGGGCTCACACCCAGTCTGTCACACATCACCCAAACTACCTCTGTGCTCCAACATGCAAAGAACCAATGGCAAATTTGACTCTTCCCCTTTACATGCTCACAGGCAACTTAAAATCAACAAGCTCAAAATCAAAGTTACAAAAGTTTGTTTTCAAACCAGGCATGGAGGGGAATACCTGTAATCCCAGAATTCAGGAGGCTGAGGCAGGATGATTGCTGCAAGTTCAAGACCAACCTGGGCTACATAGTGAGTTCAAGAACAGCCTGAACTACATAGAGAGACCCTGTCTCAAAAAAAAAAGGTTTGTTTCTTTTCTAGAAGGATAAAATTCAAGAGAGGAAGCCACTCATACATACACCATCAAAACAACATCCAGGTGGGTATGGTGGCACATGCTTGTAAGCCCAGCACTTTCGAGACTGAGCCAAGAGGATCACCACAAGCTCAAGGCCAGCCTGAATTACACAGAAAGATCCTGTTTCAAAAAATCCAACCGGGCTGGGGATTTAGCTCAGTGGTTCCAGTGCCTGCCGCAAAAGCACAAGGTCCCAAGTTCGATCCCCTGTACCAAAAAAAAAGGGGGAAACAAAATACACACAACATAACATGTAGTCTCTTAACTTTGGGCTGGGGATTTAGCTCAGTGGCTCCACTGCCTGCCTCGTAGGTACAAGGTCCTGAGTTTGATCCCCAGTACCAAAAAAAAAAAAAGTCCAACCCACATACCTAAAGCATAACTCTTCATCAATTAACATTTTCCATCTCAGTAAACGACAGCACTACCTGCCCATCCGATTCTACAAACCAGAATATCACAATCATTTAGCAGGGCGCTAAGCAAGTTGCTGTCTAGTTCTGTTTGTTCAAATGCTTTGTTTTTGTGCCACTGAGGATTGAACCCAAAGCCTTTACACAGAACCACATCCCCAATTTTTTCCTACTTTTATTTTTTATACTAAGACAGGGTCTTGCCAAGTTGCTATACTGCCCAGCTGGGCTTCAACTTTCGATCCTCCTGCCTCAGCCTCCCAGGGTGCTAAGATTACAAGTACATTATGCACCACCACACCTGGCTAGCTGTTTGCTGAGAAGGCCCCACTCCCTCTGACTGTTCCAGCTGCTCCTTCCCAGTCTTCTCCAGTTGACCAACCCCTAGACACCAAGCATCCTACCTAGGCCTGGGCCTCTGCTCTCTATGCCCACCCACTGGGACCTGGCGCCTACAGTCTGAGTGAGTTTCCCTCACTGGTCCCCAAGCTTTCAAAGCTTCACATGTCTGGTTCTGGACAGGCTCCTTCCTCAACTCCAGACTGGCCCTCCTGCCCCGGGGGGATTGTGACCCTACCACAGTCAGCTCTCTTGCAGCCTTGATGCCTCACTGAGGCCCACAGCTCCGGTGCTCAGCCGGAAATCTTCCCATCCTCTGTGGTCACTTCCCCCGCACACATCCTATATCTGGTCCAGCAACAATGCCCTGGCCTCTCTCTTGAGTACATATCCCAAACTCAGCTACTGCTTTCTGCTGCACTCCCTTAGGGTCTAAGCCACCATCCTGTCTCTTGTCTGGATGATGTACTAGTCAAGTTCTCCAGAGAAACAGAAGCCAGCGGCCACAGACAGGGTTATTTTAATAGCTCACATCATTGTACAGGTGCGGGCCGGGGATTTAGCTCAGTGGTTCCGTTCCGGCGCCTGCCTCACAGCACAAGGACCTGAGTTCAATCCCTGGTACCAAAAAAAAAAAAGAGTCTCAGGCCCATTGTACAGGTGCAAGTCCAAAGGCTGTGGGGCAGCCTGGACGCCTGGACACCTAGAAGAAAGCTGCAGAGCTCCTGCTCAAGGGGGGCTGGTCTTGCTATATTCAGGTCTTCCGCTGATTGGACAAGGCCCGCTCACATCATGCAGGGTAACCTGCTTTACTCAAAGTCTACTAACTCACACGTCAGTCTCATTCAAAGCACCTTCACAGGAGTATTCAGAGTAACATTTCACCATGTGTCCGGGTACCATGCTGTTGCCATGGTGACATATAAATTAGCCATCACCATGGTATCAACTCTGATCTCCTTGTTTCTACCCATGGCCCCCTTCAATCACACAGCAGCCCTCCTGTTAGAGCCAGATGTCACGCCACATCACGGCTCAGCTTAAAACCCCAAAGCCTTCTTCAGTGCTCTGGCTGCCAAAGATAAAGCACCAAAGCAAACTTCTCACCATGATGATGACTTAAACTATGACTCATGAGCCCCATCACATCTCTGGCCTCATCTGGTACTTCCCCAGTTGCTCTACTCCTGCTGTACATGGAAGACACAGGAGAAATACAGCAATGCTTTTTGAACTTTTTGCGGGGGAGTACTGGGGATCAAACTCAGGACCTCGCGCTTGCCAGGCAAGCACTGTGCTGCTAAGCCACATTCCAGCAGCAATGCTTTTTAACCCATGGGAAAATTACCTAATAAACTGAATCTGTTAAACAGACAAAAAGTTCTTTTAAAAAAACATGGACTTTGTGGGTGTGTTAGCTTTCCACCACTATAGCAAAATACTTAAATAATTAACTTGAAAAGGTGTATTTTTAGAAAAGGTTCTAGTCCATGACTGATAGGCCTGTAGCAGGTAGTGCACCATGGTGGAGACCCATGGAGAGAGCCTTTCAGCTCATAGCCAGAAAGAAGGAGGTGTTCTGGGCCAAGGGTTTAGCTCAGTGGTTCTGCTGCCTGCCTCAAAAGCGCAAGGATCCGGGGATTTAGCTCAGTGGTTTCGCCACCTGATGTGCAAGCACGAGGACCCGAGTTCAATCCCTGGTACCAAAAAAAGAAAGAAAAAAAAAAGCACAAGGATCTGAGTTCGATCCCCAGTACCAAAAAAAAGGAGGTGTGCTAAGTCCTATGATCCCTTTCAAGGCCACAGGCCCAGTGACCTAAGGACCTCTTGTGGGCCGCCTCTCAATGGTTCCAATAGCACTGCCAAGGGCACCAAGCCTTCATTCAACATATGCCCCTTTGGGGACACGTAAGATCCAAACTACAGCCATGGTGACTAGAAAACAGAAATCCTCAGAGGCCAACAGAGCCAAGCTAACATCTGTGTGAAGCCTAAATACTGAAAGACAACACTGCAAAACTTAGGAGTCACACACCACATTCTCTAAGACATGCAGACTGGGACAGGTCAGCTTCTCAACTTCTCTGCTCCCTGACTGCCTGAGATTCAAAGTGAAGCCTCCCTGTCTGTTAGGAGGACAGCCACCCTACACAGTGTCCAACAATGTTGCTTACAGAAGACACAGCAGGAGGGAAAACTGAGATGAAGAAAAAGAATCCAGGTGAAAGCAATCATCAGACACTGGGAATGTGAAAGCTCTCTGCGGGGAAGCTCTCTCTGCAACAAATCGAATTTTAAGGTGTTCAGTCAAAGACACAAAAACTGAGAATTAAATGAGAATATCATGAGCCAGGAGTTAGTAAGAGGCATGAAGGCAGCACAAGCAGAAGGACAATGGGAGTGGTGCGTGGCTCCCAGCCACAGTTGAGGCTATGGACTGGGACCCCACTGGAACCCAGGTACAACCTGGAGAACTCTCGAAGCAACAGACGACAGCCGCCAAGTTCTTCTTCTCCATATGTCAAGATGAAGAAACAGAAAAGTGAGGGGAAGTCAAAAAAACTGAGACGCGGGCCGGGATTTAGCTCAGTGGTGCCACCACCTGCCTTGAAAGCGCAAGGCCCCAAGTTTGATCCCTGGTACTAAAAAAAAACAAAAGAAAGAACTGAGAAGCGCTGTGTAAGGTATGAATTCCTCGCTACGAATGTAATCACTATGTACTGCTAACGTACTAATAAAAAAGTTAATCACAAAAAAGAAACAGGAAAGTAAGGACAAAAGAGCATAACATACAACTGTGCAGTGTACCATGTGAAAGAGGGAAAACAAAACTGGGAAACCCAAGCAATTGCTGGCAATTTAATTTACAAAGCATTCCAGCACTCTTATGTAGTTCACCAACCATTCCCACTCCCAGCACTCTAACCTCACTACAGGAATTTAAGCAACACTTTATTCAGAGAGAAACAAACTCACTGCGATGCTCACAAGCATGTGCACACATACATTTCACAGAGCAATTCTCTCAACTACACGTCACCTGGTATTTTCTGGTTCACTCTTTTAATATTTTTTTTTCTTTTCCAGTGCTGGGGATTGAAGTGGGGTCCCCATTGCTGCCAAGAAAACATTCTACCACCCAGCCCCAAGAACTACAAGTTTAAAAAACCAGTCCAAAGTGGTTAAACTGACATTTTAACCTCTACTTTTAGTTTCTGACAAGGTCAATAATAATTAAATTACTATGTAGCAATCCATTATTTTAAAAAAATACATTTTGCCTACTAAGTTTAAAGAAGTACTAGAACATTAAGTAGAGGTGGCACAGGATCATTTACCAGAATGATTCAAGGAAATAAATTGTGTAAAAATATAAACAAAACATCCCCTCTAGAGTCACAACCTAACAAGACTAACTTTTAAAAATTTAAAAATGGGGCTGGGGAGTTAGCTCAGTGGTAGAACGCTTGTCTGGCAAGTGTGAGGCCCTGGGTTCAGTCATCAGCACCAAAAAAAAATTTTTTTTAAGAAAAAAAAAACCCAACTTCAAGGGAACTAAAAATTTTTAAATGGCTGGGCACATTGCTCACACCTGTAATCCTAGCCACTAGGGAGGCTACAGCAGTAAGATCACAAGTTCAGGCCAGCCTGTGCCACACAGCAAGACCCTATTTCAAAATGAAAAATAACAAAGGGGCTGGGATCCAGCTTAGTGGTAGACAGCCCCTGGCTCAATTTCCAGTACTTCAAAAAAAAAATTTTTTTTTTAATTGATGCACTACATCTCCCTCCTACTGGGGTTCTAAACTTGAGTGAAGGGGAATAGTGGAACTCCTCCAAGATGGAGGGACTTCTCACTCTGGGTTTCCTTAAAAATGCAATAACTAGGCCTGTCTTCTAAAAACAGATGGTGTCCTCCTTCCTTTTTTTTTTTTTTTAAATTCCCACTAAATTCACACAAACAGTAACAGAGCAGCTACTTGAGCCAAGGAACCATGAGAAGAGGAGAGTTAATAAAATGGAGCAAAAACCTGGCATTCCTACTCCTTGATGTTTACCCAAATGAACTAAAAACGATGTCCACACAAATGCAGACATACATAGACATCTACAGCATCTTTATTCATAAGTGAGTAACTTGGAAGCTACCAAGATGCACTTTGGTAGTGAGTGCAGTACATCCAGCCACGGAATATCAGCCAGGGCTAAAAAGGAACGAGGTGTAAAGCTATGAAAAAGACAGGGAGGACCCTCAGATGCAGAGCTAAGAAACCAATCCGAAACACTGCAGGGATTTCAACCGAACAGCACCCTGGGAAAGGCATAACTGCGGAGGCAGGAAAAAAGACCAGCAGGCCCCAAGGGCTAGACAACCCTTGGCAGCGAAGCTAATCCATAGGATCCCAGGATGGTGACAGATACACCCCATCCACCATCTGAAACCGCAGTGTGCGCACGCAGAGCACCTCCAAGGTCAGTCCACGACTGGGGCACATCTGTACTGGGTCCTCAACGCAGCACACACACCCCACACTGATACAGGCGTTAGTTACGCAGGAAGGTGGGAAGGAAGGGGGTCGTATGGGGGCACTGCTCAATATTTCTGGAATGCTAAAAGTAGCTTCAAAAAATACAGTCTATTAGCCAAGTGTAGTGGTGTCCGCCTGGAATCCCAGCACTCCTGAGGCTGAGGCAGGAGGACTGCCACGAGTTCGAGGCCAACCTGGGCTCCATAGTGAGTTCAGAGCCAGCCTGGACTACAAAGGGAGACCATGCTTCAAAAAAAAAAGGAACAAAAAAAGTACTGTCTACTAATAAACTTTACAATATTTTTGAACCGGACACTGGGGAGACTGCTTGCTGTGGGGTAAGACTAACCTGCTCTCGGGGGGCACCTGGGGGGTGAAGCTGGTGGCCACTTGAGCAGTGGGAAGAGCTCAGGCTCAGGGTCAACGGGGACGCCCCGCCCGCCTGCCGCCCCGCACCCCACCTCTTGAGGGCGACCCCACCCCAAGGCCACCCGCCCACCTCCTGAGGCCCGGTGGGGTGGAAGCGGAAGCCGGGGAAGGTGCCGCGTCCTTGCGCAGAGTCTCCTCCCTGGCCACCTTGGCTGGAATGGCGGGCGGAGAACCCAGCAGCTCCACATTGGTCACGGCCTTGCCGATGGTGAACCAGTCGTTGATCTGGTCGACGGTAAGCTTGCGCAGCATGGTAGCAGCCGCCTCAACCGCCTGGCCCGAGTGGCGGGAAAAGCCACCACGTGACCTCCACACCACAGGACTGTTCCAGAAGCCCCGCCCCGCACGTGTCGGCCAATCACAGCGGCGAGTGCGGGGCGGGGCCAGGAGGTGCTGTGGTTGGCCTCCTGCCGCCTGCCCCTTCCTGCTGCGCGAAGCCTGCTGGGAGCACTAGCCCGCGAGGCCCGCCGGGACGGGATTACAAGCATGGGCGGGAAGGTGTTGGGGCCGGAGAGTCCAGACCCGAGCCTCTGGCCTTTGGCAGCGGGACTTTTATCCTGCGGGCCATTACCGGCGGAGAGTTTGGCTGGAGTTGTGGCTGCTGACCCTGGGCCTCCCGACGCCTGTGCAGGGGAGAAAGGCGAGGGGCGGTCAGGGAGGGCCAGGTGGAAGAAAAGCAGGAAGGAGGCCTGGGAGAGAGAAGCACAGCGAGGGAGCCCGCGAATGACCCCGAATGCACGGAGCCCTGGGACTGAGTTAGGCCCTGGCAGGGGGAGTGATCTTCCTTTCTGAATCTGCATCTCCTCAGGCGGCGCCCTGCACACAGCAGGGCCAAAACAGGTGTGGACGACATAGGTGCACTGTGGCCTGAGCACGAACCAGACAGGCTTCCTCTTTCTGAATGCATTGAATAACAATGCACAATCTACCTCTGTCTCCCCAGCATTACCTGGCTGAATATTCTAGATTTCACTGAATAGCTATGATTAGGGCAATCGCATTTTCTTTTATTCCAGTTTCAAAACAAAAATAAAAGCACCGGGTCTCCCTCTGTAGTCTACGCTGCCCTGGAACTCACTGTGAAACCCTAGCTGGCCTCAAACTCTAGATCATCCAGCCTCAGCCTCCTGAGTGCTAGGATTCTAAGCATGTGCTACCACACCCCGCTTCCTCTCTTAATTGTTAATATCTGTAACACTCAAATCACACACTGTTCACAATACTATATGTTACAGAAGGTTAATGAAAGAGCTAAAAGCAGCACAGGGTTTAAAGAGGTCTACAGAGGTAGAAAAGGCAGCCATCTGATACAGTGTGCAGATGTTTCTGTGGGAGGACAGATCAGGGGCTTAGAGGTCAGAACGTAGTGGCATAACTGTAGAGGTGGAGGCACAAAGCTGTTAGGCAAAGTCCAAGTCTGGATTGCAGGCAGATTCAAAACTATCAGCTTGAAGCATGCTATGTGTGCATCACAAGCAGAAGAAACCATGCTGAGCTGAAGCCCCAGGGACAGATGGAGGTCACTCGCCTGGCAGTCACCTGTGCAAAGCCTGTGGTAAGTAGGTGACCAAGTGATGGGGCCAGTGGTGCTGCTGTGCCAGCTGCAGGGTATTCCTCCTTTTATAAGTCTTGGGTGATAGGCACAGTGGCACACATCTATGATCCAATCACTTTGAGAGGCTGAAATAGGAAGATCTCAAGTTCAAGGCCCAACTGGCTAACTTAGCAAGACCCTGTTTTAAAAGGGGAAGAAGGAGGCCTAGGGATGTAGCTCAATGTGAAGGCCATGAGTTTAATCACAGTACCAAGCCAGATGTGGTAGTACACGCCTGTAATCCCAGCACTCAGGAGGCTGAGGCAGGAGGATTGCTGTGTGATAGAGTTCTCTACTGGACAAAATGGCCTCAATGGTCCTACATTCTAAAATGGCTCCCATTCCTAAAATGGTTCCCAATTATGGAAATGAGCCATTTCAGAAAAGTGAAACCTACCCTCTCTGGAGAAGCAAAGTCTAACTTGTTGCTCCACCCTGCTACCCATGTAATCCTTCCCTTCCAATTACCTGGCATCCTGGTGCTCAACTCTCAGGATACTCTCCCCATTCCACCGCCCTGTATAAACCTCACCCCAGTGAGTCTCACCCTCTCTCACCATTGTTCGAGGCAGGCCCACAGTTCCTTCCCCAATAAAGCCCTTCCTCAGGTACTCCTGTTTTGCCTTGTTTTCCTTCACTGTGAGTTTGAGACCACCCAGGGCTATGCAGTGAATTCAAGGCCAGCCTAAACTACATGGCAAGACCCTGTCTCAAAAAAAAAAAATCACAGTACCAAGAAAAAGGTCTCAGGTAAGGGGTTTGCATCTCGTGTATTCGATAAGTTCACATATCTGGCTTTTCTGCTGTGATTTGGTATCCCCATCCCCATGTGCTTCCAATTGTACTCAGTAAGTTAATTTTCATTGGCATGAGTAAGTTGCCAGTCTGGGCCTTGTGGCTGTGACCCAGAGGCAGTGATTCGCCGAGCAAGGTGCACCCTGATGTCTGTGCTCAGAATGGAGTAATTCACATCAGCTGGTGCTTCACAAGATGGAGCAACTTGGACCAGGTACAGCCTGAACACTGCTGTCCACACAAGGACACAGTCTGCTCGTCGCAGTGGGTCAGGTGGGTAAAACACCAAAGGAGACTGCAATGGTCCAGGCCAAGCTCTGAGAGGGAGGGTGGATGGCAGAATCAGGAAACATCCCCAAAGAAGGGTCAGAGAAAAACAACCAGTGGAGCATACAAAGGAAGGAAGATGGCAGGAGAATCACCAGGCATGATTGCCAGCCACCATCACAACCTCCGTGCCCCACAAGAGCCACATGGATGTGAGATAGGGTGACCAGAAGAACACACACATCCCCATTGTGAAGCCCAATCAGTTATACACTGGAAAATGCCCACCAAAGGGCCAGGGATGTAGCTCAGTGGCACCGTGCCTGCCTGGCAAGTGCAAGGTCCTGAATTTGATTCCCAGTACCAGGGAAAAAAAAAAAAACCCACCAAGGGGTTGATAAGGGTCGGCTTCAGAATGGCATAGACAGAAGCCAGGCCAGAGAATGTGATCTGCTGGTGCCTCAAACTGTGTTCCAAACCAGGAGTCCTGGCTCCAAATCCTAGCCTTGCCACTACTGTTACTTCCTCTGGGTCTTCTAGCCTGACTTTCCAAACACCACTGCCCCTGAAAAGAGCCTCCTAACACAGAGCCATGGAGAAAGACTCTTACTATGTCTTTCAGTGTCGATTGGAAATTATCTACATACTTTATGTAAAGACTAAGACATAATGCTAAATTTCACGAAATATATTGAAAGTACTTGAAGCAACTCCAGAACTTATATTTGCTTTCCTACCACTCCTCCCACGTGGTATCACCCTTTGTGTGTTTGGGAGGAAGAGAGTTGCTCATTTTCTGAGACATTTTCTTTCCCCCTTGACCTTTTGAGGGACACTGCCTTGATGTTTTCTCACTTTGGAAAGTGGTTCTTGCTTTCCTGGTTAAACACCAGGTAATTTCGTGTGGTCCCAGGCCCAGCGGCTTTGGGATACCTCCACCTGACACAGTACTTCCTGGTGCACCCTGCAGCAGAAGCCACAGAGCCTCTGGAAAACGCCACTCTGCCCATGAGAGAATCCCAGTAAAAACAAATGACATCTTACCAGTTTTGACCCCAGGGATTTGAAAGCTTTCAAACTGTCACTGGCTAGAAGTTTAGGCCAGTCTTGCTATGTAGCCTGAACTGGCCTCAAACTCACAGCCATCCTCCTGCCTTGGCCTCCCAAGTGCTGGGATTACAAACATGCACCACCACACCAGCTCTTGCTTTAGTAATAAGAGAAATTAAAACTAAAGTGACAGTATGAATTTACAGGCTAAAGCTTTAATTGGAATGAAAGAGAACAGATAGAGAAAGTACTCCATCTTGAGTAGCTGGAGGCAACATTCTCTGGTGTAGGACTTCAAGCTGGCCCACCCACAGAAGAACGGAGACCAGTTTTGATGGGTTACTGTGGTGGGCCAGGTCTGGTCCATCATTACCAGGGCCTAGTTTTGTAGCTCCAGTGCAGTCCTCATGGGAGTAAGCGGATTCGGTTCCCATGAAATGATTGTCTGCCTGTGGCAACTTCAGTGAAGTGAGTCTGCTTTTTCCAGGGACCCAGTGATACTAGTTCAGGGCAGTGGCTGGAGACTTTCCACCATTGCTCTAAGGGGAATGGGTCTAGAGGTTGTAAAAGCTGGCAGCTGTATGTCCCTGTGATTCTTGGAAATTACTTTAGTTCTTGTGTCCTGTGTCTTGAATTAGGTACATTTAGGGCTAATAAACTTTGATGACTAGCATGCCTATAACAGAGCTGAGAAGAATTTGAGAGTTTTACAAAATGAAGGTCAAGCTTTCTTCTAGTTTTAGTTACCTTTTGAGCATTTGTAGGCCCAAGTAAAGTCAGAATTTTTAGGAAATATATATATATATATATATATATTTAAGTCCTTGATTGTCTTAGAAAAAATCAGAAATCAAGCTTTTAATGAGGTACAAGCTAAGGGCCCAGGATTTTGTTTTCTGTCCCTGTGGATACGGTGGTCTCTGTCAGAAACCACACTTGGAGAACCAGTGCCTGGAAATACCAAACTTCTCAAGTTCTGCATACACTTTCATTCAATTTTAGCTTTTTCCCTTTAAATTGGAATCATGTTCATTGCTCTTCATTCTTTCCTGCATCCCATCCTTCCATTCCCCTCTTTCTCCTCCTGCCCAAACACTAAACATACTGTGCATCTGGTGGTGATTATTCACTCATTCTTAGCTTGTCAAAAACTACTCCACTTTCTTTACTGAGTGCTAATTTTCCTATGTATAGAATTCTAAATAGTCATTTAAGACTTCCTCTTTGTATTTCTTTTTTCACAGTTCTGGGGACTGAACCTCAGGTCACGCACGTGCTCGGCAGTACCCCCACTGAGTGACACTCCTGGCCCTAGTCCTTAGTTTGCTATGGTTTTATTCTGAGGCTTTGGCTGCTGACTTTTCATTTATCTGCATACTTGATTTCATAAGGGATTTTGAACCTTTGGAATGATTTTTTTAAACACTTTTGGGAAATCTTCAGCCATTCATCTCTTGAAATATTTCTGCCCAACTCTTGTTCATTTCCACATCGTGAGTTCAAGGCCAGACTGAACTACATAGCAAGACCCTGTCTCAAAAAACTAAAAAACAAACATAAAACACTTGTCCATTTCCTTGTAAGACTCCACTCAAACCTGATGCTGGGGATGTAGCTCAGTGGAAGGCCTGAGTTCAAGCTGTAGCACACACAAAAAAAATTTTTAAGAAAAGGAAGAAAACACAGCTAGATGTACACTGGCTGCCTTGCTGTGCGGCCTGTCCCTCGCCTTCTCTCTGTCTGTGCTCTGTCTCTGTCTCCAACTCTAATTCTTTCAATGTCTTATCTTCTGCTAAGCCCATACAATTCTTTGGCTTTTTTTGTTTTTTACCCATTAGCTCGGTGGTTTTGTTTTTCCAGCTACCTGCTGGATTTCCCCCTTTCTCCATAGTAAGCATTGTTATTTTTAAAGACTGTTAGATTCAGCATCTGGAGCTCCCACGGAAGTGTTTACATCAGCTGTTGAGAAGAATTAATATAGGGCCGGGGATTTAGCTCAGTGGTTTCGTCGCCTGCTGCGCAAGAACAAGGACCCAAGTTCGATCCTCGCACCCAAAAAAAAAAAAAAAAAAAAGAATTAATATGCACAGAATAGCCACATAAAAGCATGCAGAGCAAAAAGATGATCCAAAAGGAATCGGGAAACACCCTTCAGATGGGAGACTACTCTGCCCCTAACGAATCACGTAAAGAGGTCCCTTTTTCTTTGATTTTTGGGACTGGGGATCGAACTCGGGACCTTGCACTTGCAAGGCAGGCAGCAGAACCACTGAGCTAAATCCCCGGCCCCAAGGGGTCCTTTTTTAAAGCTGGCCAACCCGTCATGTTTGCCTAGCACTTTCCCGGTATCTGCAGTAAAAGTCCTGCGTCCGGAAAGCGCGTTAGTCCTGGGGAAATCTGGAGTTTAAGATCACTGTATTACAACGCGAAGGGACACCACCCAGCGCTCCCACTCCAAGCCCCCTCCGGCCGCCGGGGACGCTGTAGCGCGCAGGCGCAGCCTGTGCGACGCGCTGACGTTCGGAGCCACTGCTCCTTCCGCCTTCCCCCTTCCCAGCGGGCTCCGCGAGGCGCCTGCGCACTTGGTGACCTTCGAGAGTGTGTGGTGGGGTCTGGCGCGGCCTGCACGATTGTTCCTGCCGAGGTGAGCGCGGGCCCGAGCCTGTTGCTCGGGTCGCTGTGGCCGGGACTGAAGAGGGCGCCGGACGAGAAGGTCTGGGAGCGAGGGAGCGGGAGGGCGGGAAGAGGCCTCTGTCGCCCTTGAGTCAGGCCCCGCCCGCCAGCTGCGCTGTGCTCTGTTTCGGACCGAGGGAGCTGCGAGAGGGTCCCCGGGGGTTCGCCCCCCAGCCCGTGGGAGGTGCCTGGGCCGTGGCCCCCAAACTGCGAGGTAGCTGCCCGGGGTTGGTCCGACGCCCTGAGATGCCGGGGTCGGGTCCTCAGCGCCGGGCTTAGCCCTCAGGACCACCCCTCAGCCCTGAATGGTCTCAGGAGCGGGACGCTGAGCCTTGGAGCAGATCTCGGTGATGAGGCCTGTGGACCTCATTTGATGCCAGTCCAGCCGTGCTCACTGCGACGCGGTCTTGGGCATATTTCTCACCCACTTAGGAAGGGGTAGAACGGGAAATAAGTGTGTCAGGCACTTACTAAGTTCAATGTGGGGAGCATTCTTGGAGTAAAAAACTACTTTGACCTCCAAGCCCCTGAGATCTGGCCCACCTTCCCTCTCGTAGTTAATCCACACTATTTTACATGACAAGTGCTTGATATTGCCAGACTCTGAAGACTTGGCAGGAGTGATTCGCTTAAGGGCCATAACAGCCCATTGAGATGGGTACTGTTTATCCCAGTTGGACCTGTGAGATCGCTGGGAAACTCTGTTAGCTAGTGGGTGGGGGCAGGATTTGAATCTAGGCGGGCAGCCCCCCTGGCTGTCCCATTCCTCCCTGCTCTAACTCTTTCTGACCTCGGGGTCTTGGCACATCAGTGACTGCTGGAGCCGCTTCAGGTATTCTGACTGCTCTCGCTCAGCATCTTGCACATGCTCAGTTCACGTTTGCCGAGTGAACACAAATGTCACGATGCGGGTTTCCATGATTAGAGGTCAGCCATTGAGCTTAGAATAGGTTGGGCTTTTGAAGGATCCAGTTTTGTGTGAGTCTGTTACAGTTCGGGAGTGTGGAAACCCAGCGAACACTGGAGATTTGACTCTTGTGTATCCGCAGTAGCAGAGGGACTGGGTGAGTGGAGCAGTGGTGGGTAAGTGAGGCAAGAAACCCACTGCAGGCAAAGTGGAGGTTCTGAGTGAAATGAGAAGTGCTTGGACCCGGGCCGGGGATTTAGCCCTGCGGTTCTGCTGCCTGCCTCACAACCGCAAGGTCCGGAGTTCAATCACCAGTACCAAGAAAAAGAAGTGCTTGGATCTCCTGCTGCCTGACAGCTGGTGGAATGACCACCTTTTATCAGCCCAGATGTTACAAAGCTTTGCTAAGATGAAAGTGAAGGCCAGGCTCAGCAGCACATGCCCATAATCCCAACATTTGGGAGGCTGAGGCAGGAGGATTTCACAGTCAAGCCCAACCTGGGCATGAGACCCTGTCTTAAAAATAAAAAGGCCTTGCGCAAGCGCAAGGACCCGAGTTCGATCCCCGGTACCAAAAACAAATTAAAAATTAAAAAAAAAAAAGGCCTGGAGATTTGGTCGTAAATTGCAAAAGTAATTGAAAGCATTGAGACCTGAACATAAAAAGCAAACCATAAATTCAGAATTTAATGGCTTTCCCATCAAGTCTAGTAATTAAATAATATTTGTATTTATTAAATAAGTTCTTCCACATGTGGCCCTGCATCTTGTGCCATCTGTTTTGTATTTAACAGTGGACCCCAGGACTAAGCTACAGCTGGTCAAAGTGCACCCAGGCCCAGGTGTTAGTTCCATAAGGAAATTGCCATACCCTGTTAACCTCAAATGCAAGCCTTTCTCAACATGCTGCTGAAACTCATGTTTCTACTTCACAGCAGGGTGTGTGGTTTTGCGCATAGCCTTACTGGACAATTAGCTGGGAAGGGCATCATGGTAGCAGGCACTGAGATGAAGAAATGAGGCGTCACTGAGTGCCAGGGTGGTGGGACAAGTTTGAAGAGCTATGAAGAGCTGTAGAGGCACCGCACAGGTCGGGGACACAATAGTTCCAGCCCAATAGCTGCTCTCTGTCGTGGGGAAGGGTGTCAGACTTAATGAAAATCTCTTACCAGTTAGGTTGAGAACACCAGCCATCTTAATATTTATCACTGTGTTCATTTTCAGATGCTTCAAAGCTTCATTAAAAATGTCTGGGTCCCCTTGAAGCCATACTATACCCAAGTTTACCAGGAGATTTGGGTAGGAATGGGGTTGATGAGCTTCATTGTTTATAAAATCAGAAGTGCTGGTAAGTTCCTGCATGTTTGATACATTGGCAGCCAGGAGAGAATTACAGTTCATCTGTGAAGGCACTGTGGCTCTTAACTGGACACGTGTATGAGAACCACTGTGGTCACTCACAGAGTAGGCCCAGTGTGGGTCAGCTGTGAAAGGCTTTGTGGAGGGGGGTTCGGAGCAAGACTGTGACATCAGGCAATTGATTTGTCCTGCCTGCGATAGTGGTATTACATCTACGTAGTTGGTGTCCTTCATCTTAACAGATGCAGCCTGAAATATCTAAGGGTGTACTGTCATGAGCTATATTGCTTTAGGGTACCTTTTCACCTCTTCTGAGGATTTGAAATTTCTTCATGACAAAATTTGGAGAGGAGGAATAGCCATTGGGTTCTCAGTGGAGCAGATAAGGACCAAGCATGTACTGCAAAGCCACTGATTGAGAGGAGGAGAGGGCCAGGGATTTAGCGGAGTGGTTCTGCCACCTGCCTCGCAAGCGCAAGGTCCAGAGTTCAATCCCCGGAACCGAAAAAGAGAGAGAGAAAAGTTGAGACGACTGCAGTTGAGGAGATGGGAGGGAGTAAGAAGCCTGCTCGCCACTGTCCATAGAACGTCTTTGATCGAAACTTTACCACGTCTCGGTTGTTTGGCCTGCAGTAACTGTTACCTTCTAGAAGCTTCCTGTAAGTGTAACACTTTTCCTGAGCTATATCACCTTCCACCAAATCTTGACCGTAGCAGTGAATTAGACCAACTAAAGGCATTTTTATAAAGCACTGATATGACACACTTTTCCCTTTTATTTTAGATAAAAGAAGCAAAGCTTTAAAAGGTAAGTTTTTTTGCTTCTTGAAATGATTGGAGGGGCCAGGGATTTAGCTCAGTGGTGCTGTGTCTGCCTCATAAACACAAGATCCTGCGTTCAGTCCCTGGTACCAAGGGGGGAAAAGGAAAGAAATGATTGGAAATGAAGAATACCATTTTACCTTTTTGTTGTTGTTGTTGTTGTTGGTACCAGGGATCGAACTCTTGGGACCTTGCACTTGCGAGGCAGGCGGGGGAACCACGGAGCTAAATCCCCGGCCCACCATTTTATGTTTTTAGGACAGGTTATATCATTGTTCTGAACTGAAACTGATACACAGTTCAGTGAGTGTGTGAGAAAAAGTAGAGGGACCAGGGCCTGAACTAATGGTGAGACCTTGTCTCAAAAAACCAAAAAGAAAGAATAATTACAATAGCTGATGCCTCCAGTAGGGGAGCACAGGGTAGCCATGTGAGCATGCCACCTTGTGAAGTTCGTAATCATGTATTTTTAAAGTGCTTCGAAAGAAAGCACCTTACATCTTTATGCTCTGGTGCTGGGTATTTCTTGTTTCCCCAGTGACAAAGAAACTGTGGTCATTTGAGTGTCACACAAACCCAGCACTGGCTCCATGGGCTTTGGGAAGAGCCATTTCCCACCTCTCCATCTTCGCCCCTGCCAGTGGGCTTCTGCTTGCAGGTAGCATGTTCAGGAGCCTTCAAATGTGCTCAGTGTTCCGTGCAGAAATAATGAACACTGAGCATTTTGATAGCACTGAAAATTGTCATTCACTTTGTGACTTATACTCCTTTCATAATAGACTGCATTCTGCTGCTTTCTTCCTAAATGATTTCCTTATTGTGCATCTTTTTCAAAAGGTTCAAGTCCTGCACCTTCTCATGCCCATCACTAACCAGCTGTCTTGAGTGCACATGGACGAAACGTCAGTCTGCCTGTAAATCTAAGCCAGCTGTGTCAGATGGGAGCACAGAACATCACTGTAACCTGCATAAGTAGTGTTGGCTCTGAGGCATGAATAAATGTACCTGTGAGATGCACCTCCCCATTCTGGGACTGTTTTGTGTGTCCCCTCGCAGACCCTCTGTATGTAGCAGCTGTCCTCATACCGCCCACCCCCTCCCGAAGAGCCCGGGATGAGGAGTGCACACCTTGGTTGTTCACCGCAGGGCTTGGTGGTCCAGGTCCAGGTACTCACTCGGATTCTGATACTCAATAAATGTCTGTTTAGCAAGCGGTCCTGCTGCTGTCTCCTGGCCTCTTCGAGCCTCTCTCTTCACCTTTGGGATGTGGAGATGTTGATTATATAATCTCAAACTTGGAACTATTGTCAGGATCAATAACGGAAAGGAAGGGAAAACATTAAGTTGTGAAATGCTTTGGAAATAAGATAGCGTTAGATCACACAGGCAAAATTATAAACTCTGTGAGGCATTTTTTTCCTGGAAATCACAAGGCATAATAAAGCACAAAAAAGTCGATGGATGTTTCTTCTAGTTAGGCCAATGTCAAATGAATAGTGCATAACTTTTATCTCCACGTGAGGCAGTTACCCATCCCTTCCAGTCGCGCACACAAGGATTGTAAGGCAGTGAGTGGAGTGGAGCGAGTCCAGCCGAAACCAGGCGTTTGCAGGTCAGAAGAGGAGCTGCAGAGCAGAAGCAGTGCCCAGTCCTGGCATTAAGATCCTCCCTTCCCCCAACCACAGACCTCCCTGTTTTTCATCTGGCCAAGACAGGGCTGGCACTTGCTGTGGGGTTTGCCTGAGCCTCATTCTTCTTGCATAAGATGGGGCTGAGCCTGCCTGTGCCCTCCCTCAGCTTTGGAGTTGCTGGGCACAGTAAGCAGGAGCGCCTTGTGTAGGCAGCATGGGATCTGAAGACTCAGATCCGATGGAGTCCTGTGTCATGCACTGCTCCAGTGGTATCCTGAGCTGGGCACTGTGGTGCAGGCCAGGTGCCCTGTGTGTGACTGATGAGTCCCTGGGACATGCTGATGCCCAGGCTTCAGAAATTGCTGCTTATAAGGAGAACAGGCTGCAGCCCTGCCTTGCTACCCACTGGAGGCCCGATGTGCACTGCTGATCGCAGCACGGGCCCCGCACACCACCTCTGCCACACACCACAGTGCATGTTGTCTGCTAATGAGGTGTGGACCTCACAGGAGGACAAGTGACGCTGAGAAAAAGGCAGTAAAATGCCAAAGGTCACAGCACTGGGCCCGGATGTGCACTCTTGTCTGGAAAGGAGGTGAGGACCAGGTGGAAGGGATGTCTGGCCTCAGAGTGCTCCCAGAAGAGCTGGGCCATTGCTCTTCCACCCTATTCCCTAAGGGTTCCTCAGCCAAGATGGCTGGGTGGGTCAGTTCTCTGGTACAGGAGTCTGTGCCCTATCATGATGTCCATCCATCACTTGTGCAGAGCAGACGTGAGCGTGTCAGAATGGATCTGCTAATCACAGAGAGAAGCAACTCCAAGGTCTCGGGGGGCTTTGGAGACAGCAGGTCGTGTACTGCAGGTGGCCTGTAGGTGGAGCCGGAGCTCTCTTGCCTGCGAGGCAAGTGTGGGGTGAAGGACACAGGCTGCGGGAAAGGGAGGGCACGGGCAGCTTCAGGAGGAATGCCAGACTCGCATTCACCCGCCCTTCCATAATGCAGTGCTACTGGGGAGTAATCCTGAAGGCAGACAGGTACTGAGGACCCTGAGCATCTGCAGATGGAGTTTTATTTTCATTATTTTATTTCATTGTATTAATTCACCTTTTTTGTGGTACTGAAGATTGAACACAGGGCCTCACAATGCTAGACAAACACCACCGCTGAGCTATGTCCTCAGCCCTTTTCTGTTTTGAATTTTGACACATTCTTGCTAAGCTGCCCAGGCTGGCCTTGAACTTGAGATCCGCCTGCCTCAGCTCCTGGAGGAGCTGGGCTTTCATGTGCCAGATGTAGTTTTAAATGATACATTTTTAAACTAGCCTCACGTGAGCTGCTGGAGGAATCACCTGTTCTTGCTTGTCCCTGGATATCTTGCCAGGCTGTGCCCTCCAGAGACCTTGGCAGGTGTGGTTCCCACTGCCCTCTGTGGGTTGCACCTGGAGCTGACAGGTCCTGAGCATAACTCAGATCTGCACAGCACCCTGTGAGCTCTCACTGCTACCGAGTTCACGGTGAAATGGAGGACAAGACTAGATAATGAGCTTGCATCAGAAGATGATTACCTGGTTAGCAGACCGGTAAGTTAACTAGCAGAGCCAGGATTCGAAACCTGAGTGTCAGAACTGGGACCTGGGCTATAGTCTGACCTCATGTACCTGTATTTGTGTCGGGCCACGTGTTACTATGGCCCACACAAGGCCGATTAGCACACAGTCCCTTTCCTCCCAAAGTTTAGAGTCTAGTGAACAGGTAGTGACAATGCTTGGCAATACACATAGCAGTGCACATCTGTGCCGGTCCATGCTGGCCATGCATCACACATTGGGCCCGGACACCAGAAGCCCAGCTCCTGCCCAGCAGCCAACTCAGACCCATGGATTTGCCCTAGACCCTTGCTCAGACAAACCAGTCACAGCAAGGCATTGCTGGTACTATAAGGAAACTGTACATAGACTGGAATTAAGTGACACCGAAGAATTGCTGATTTTATTGTCATTAAGTATCACAATGATGGTATTGTGGTCATGGAGGAAGATGTCAGTTTCAGATATGTGGATGCCATTATGAAGGTGTTAAATGATATCTGGGAGGTACTTGAAAAAACATTGGCAAGGGCGAGCACGGTGGCCCACGCCTGTAATCCCAGTATTTGGGAGACTGAGGCAGGAGGATCGCCATGAGTTTGAGGCCTGCCTGAACTACACAGTGACATTGTCTCAAAAAACAATAATAATAAATAAAATACATCAGCAAAGACTAGTGAATCACATAGATGGGCCTGAGGAGGCTAGGGTGTGCACGCACAGCCCAGTTCCCAGCACTACAGAAATACAGAAAACCACTGGCGGGATCAATGACAAGAGAAATGTGATTCACTGTCACTTGTGGAATTTGGGATCAGATGCATGGAAACAAGCTACATGATCCTCTACCTTGGTACGTGTCTTAACTTCCTGCAATGAAAATCCAAAAACTACGTGAGCAAAAGCAAAAACAAGCTGTGTGAGCAAAGCCTTTGTCAGTCCTGTGATACATATTTGAGAAGCCACCCCTGTGCAACCCCAGGAACTCAGCGATCCTGTGAACTTGAGTCAGTTACTCAGACGTGGTTCAGGGTTTGTTACCAAAATGACCGCAGAGTCAGCTGTATGTTTGGTTCTCTCTTAAATAGCGATCTCATAACAGCCCTGGGTTAGCAAACCAGCCCAGAGGGAAGAGAGTGTCAGAACACTCCCATTTAATTAGAAACAAAAATTTATTCTTAAAAATTAAATTTACAACCCAAAACAGATGTTCACGATGTTTCTATATTGTCATCTTGGTCTGCTTTCTTTCAAATATAATAACAGTCTTTTCCTGCCATCTTTATATTTTGGAAATATATTCTACTCTATTCAAAAAAGGTCAAGCATTGCAATTTGAGATATTTCCCATATACTTTTGTCAAGTGAATAATGTTTGGCTGAGAAAAAAATTGAATTTATGTTTCATATGAAATAAATTCAAATAATTTTTTTAAATGTGAGGTGAGCAATTGGTAGGTGAATGTAGAACTTATCCCAAAAAAGACCCAAAGATTTAAACAGCTCCCAGCTGCTGGAAGCAAGCCTCAGCCCTAGCACACTTGCTGTTGTAGCTCCCAGGGTTCCCGGACAAGTTAGGGAGGCAGGCAGCAGCCCAATGGCGCTGGGACACCTGAGGTAAGCTGCCTCCTTGCTCCCACACCCAGAAGAGGTAGGTTTCACCTGACAGTGAAAGAGCATTAGGGAGAGTATCCACTTCCAGCCACCTCTGTAACCCCCAGTGGTTCAGGCACCTGCGACGTTCACCCTACCCCACTGACACAGCCTGGCTGCACCTGGCATTGCCTTGTGAGAACAGGGGCCCCGCAGGCCTCACCTCACCCCTCAGCAGAAAGTGAGAGACGGGCACTGGCCTCTAGTACTGCACCTGCCCCCAGCCTCGCACCAAAGGCAAGGTGCAGGGAGAGGGGTAAAGACTCATGGCTGATGGCCAAGAGACAAGGCCTGAGAGGAAGTAAAAGATGCTATTCCCACCTCAGCAAGACCACAAATTTGGTCACAACACTGGAGCTGGCATATTACAAGCATCTGGAGAACTGTTGGAAATTAGGAATAGTAATGGTGAAAGGAGAACACAGTAATGAAATTTTGAAAATTATAGTAGTACCAAATATGGCACAGTACTGCAGAAAAAAAAATTTTTTTAAGGGCTGGGATGGACCAATAGCTCAGGGCTCCCTGGGTTCAGTCTTCAGTACCAGATAGACGATAGATAGATAGACAGACAGACAGATCTCTGCCGATGCCCTGTCCGCGCAGCTGGTGACCCACTGTATGCGACCCTCTGACAGGCTGCGAGACCTTCTGGGTGGAGCTGCCCTGCCTGAGCCCTCAGACAAACTCCTCAGGGTCTCTCAGCCTCTGGCTTCCTGTCTCTAACTTGAGGCCTCCTGAGTCAGCTCCCAGCTCTGTAATTCTGTAACTCATGGATTTATGTTGAACCTAAATTCCATTATCCAAAAGTGAATGGAGCTGCAACTGTAGGGTAAGAAGTCATAAATTGCAGATTTATGGAAAGGTCATGACTTCATCTCTTTTTTTTTTTTTTTTTTTGGTACCAGGGATCAAACTCAGGCCCTCGCGCTTGCGCAGCAGGTGGCGATGACTTCATCTCTTTACACCTGATACCTAACATCAGGCCAGGCATTGATAGCAGGCACCCTAGTTTTTTAGTGGATTTAATTAAATAGAGATGCTAGTTTAAAAATGGTTTTTCAGCCAGGTGCGGTGGTCCGCACCTGTAATCCTAGCTAATTGGGAGACTGAGCTGGGCAAATCACAAGTATGAGGTCAGCCCGGACAACATAGCAGATGTTGTCTCATAAAAAAATCTTTCAAAAAGTTTCCCAGCTCTTGATAAATACACAGATCATCTAGACAAAAAGTTAACAAGGAAATTCTAGAGCTGAACCAAGCTATTGAACAAACAGACTTAATAGATGTTTACAGAGTGTTCCCACCCACAAAATCGGAATACACATTCTTTTTGGCTGCACACGG